TTGCCGTTGTTCCATAAAAGTATGTTTTAAGATCATTTAAAGCGAGAAAATTATACTTTTAAGCGTCAATATATGGCCCATTTACTGATGTTTGTATGTAATTTTTAAGAAAAAGTTCAGATGTTGAGAGGACCATGCTAACCAACGGAGCTCCGTTAGCCCGTCTGCAGCAGTCCTCTCTGATGGAGGTTTGATTGTTTGATTTTTCAAAATATTAATTTGATTTGGGTTTATCGGTGTTAAATATTATTCCACCAACTAAATGAAAAAAGTAAGAATGTATTATTTTCTAGAGACCATTAAAAACAGGAGGTGAAGTGCAGCTCCAAACAAGCTGAGAGTGTGGTGATGTCACGAGTACGCCTTTGTAACCATATTTTTGCCGTGTGCTCCCGTTCTCACCAAGTCCACACTTTCATGTGTTCTTGTCAAGAAAATACTTGAGGGGGCCACGAGTCCGTACTCGCGTTCTTGTGAATTGGGAAACGGCCCAGATGTTAGATTGGCCGAGTCAAAGTCCAGACCTGAAGCAACTTGCAGCTGTAATCGCAGCAAAAGGTGGCGCTGCAAAGTATTAACTCAAGGTTCTGAAGAATTTTGCAAACACATTTTTTTCCTTTTTTATTTCAAAAAAGTTTAAAACATCGCATAAATATTGTTCCACTTCCTGATTGTGTCCCACTTGTTGTTGATTGTTAACAAAAAGTTATAATTTAATATCTTTGTTTGAAGCCTGAAATTTAGCAACAGGTCAAAGTTCAAGGTGGGTGCAAATGCTTTCACAGGGCACTGCACATCATCAAATTCAATGATGACAGAGACTTAAGAAGATGAATATATAATTATATTATTTGATCGATATTATTTATATTTAGAATTATGAAACATTTCTTTTTATCGTTGCTGCATTCTGTATTTGTTTCAATTTAGGTTTTTTTTATGACTGAACACGTAAACCCGGAAGGGAGTGCTGCAAAGCCATGTGGCCTGCTGTGTGTTTGGGAGAGAATCACCGTTCAGAACAAAAGTAGTCCTTATCTACCTACACAGCTACTGCTGCAACAACCACACCCTCTCAAATTTAAAGTGCATGCCGCTTTGTTTCCTGGTGAAACGAGCAAAGGTTAAAATGAGGATATCCAACAGTTTGGTGTTACCTAAAAGTCGTATTTCTTTAAGATTTGTTTTCATTATCTCATGCCCACTGTGTATTGTTTTGTTAATGTTGCTAAACACTAAATCATAACAATTGAACTTCACTGATCCCACATTGGAGAAATTTACATCTGCATGTGACCCATTCTTTTGGGGAGCAGTAGGCTGCCATGGTGTGGCCTCAGGTGAGCAGTGTGGGGTTAAGGGTCTTTGCTCAGGGATCCATATTGGCGGTCTGTGGGAGTGGGGCTCGAACTCAGAACCTCAGGATTCCTGATCTGTATGCCCTAACCACTAGGCCACCACTCCCCACTATCTTGCTAATGTTTGTTTCTAAGGGTCTGAGGTGATAAAACTCCATGCATGTTTGGTCTAGGTAGTGGATAATTATTATTTCAGTTGTAAATTGACTTATTACATTTAAAAATTGACACCAGTGTTCATATTAATCTGATCTCAACAAGAACATACAGTTTAATAGTCAACATAGGGTTGAGTGTCTTTTCAGGTGGAAAATCGAACCAATAATCTACCAATTGCTCATTGATTTCTTTTTTTTTTTAGATTAATTTGTTAAGCTAATAAAAGCTGGTCTAATAAGCAGTGACATAACGAGTTCAATTGTTTACCTAAATCTCAGTATTATAGAGGTCCTACATGTTTATTATGGCTGAGAAGGAATCACCCTCAGGTCATTGCTGCCCTAAAGTTGACTGTTAAAGTCCTACTGCAATAAACTAATGTCAACGTCCTACAGTAGATATTAAGCTAATTGATGGTCGGGGATTGTAATCATGTAAAAAAAAAGATAAAAGGCTTAGTCATCCTAATATAAATTTATGAACTGCCTGAAATGGGTTTTAAGTTGATTACAGGTTGGTTTTTAATCTTTATTGTATATAAACCCCACTTGGCAAATTTCAGTTTCTTTCTGCCATTATTTTTTTTCTGATATAGAAATATTAATTTTAGAGATTACAAAATGACTATGATTCTGATTAGTAGTCTGCACCTAGTGGCTCTTGGAGGTATTGCACTTTCTCTTTTTTCAAATGGATGGGTTCTGATTTTTTTTAAGGCTTTGAAGGACAAGAATTTGAAAGAAAACTTAAAAATATATGATTTTAACATGGTGACCAATCAAAAAATAGATTACTTTTTCAAGGGTTTGCTTAATCTCAAAGCCTTAAAATTCAGTTTCTACCAGGTTTCTAGAGCAATGCCTCAAAGGAGCACAGATGTACTGTTTACAATCAGAATGTTATGGGTAAGGAGAGCTGAGTAGTATATGGAGAAATGAAAGGGATCCTTTGATCTGAGGGTTTGAGAAATGGCCCTAAGTGAAACAGATGCTGCTGCTGAGAGTTTATGCAGATTCATGATGTGTCTAAGACTACAGCAGAAGAGCCCTTAGCTCTGTCTGTCTGCAGCCTTATCGACCCAATCTCATCATTCCCATTTAAGCATTTCCATACTTAAGTTTGTTATTGCGATGGTCTGTGATTAGCTTATTATGTGGAGCTCTGCAGGAAAACCTGAATTCCGATAGTATTTAATTTTTAGCAAGAAGTTTTCTTACATTTTCTTTAGATATATTCTTATAGCATACAATGCCTTTTCAAACATGATTTGAAAACAATATTTTTCAATATTGGTTACATTAAATCTATAAGCTTTAAAATATTTTAATGGGATGTTATGTGATAGACCAATACAAAGGGGAACATAGTTTTGAAGTGGAAGAAAAAGAATGCAATCCAAAAGTTTCCTACTGTGCTTTTATTATGCTCCCATAAACCCAGCTCCAAATCTTTTGTAGTCAGTCTCTACTACCCTTGCACATCTGCGTACTGAACTCTTTCTTTCTTTTGCATAATTAGCATGTCTGAGCACCGGCCTCCTCCTGGTTTTTTATTTGATTCAGGTTTGGGCTTAAAGGAATAGTACACCCAAAACATGATTAGCCTTCATTTTCTACTCACCCCCATGCTGAACAAAACTCTGGAGTACTTTTTTGATATCTCAAATGCATCTGGAGATCTGGGAGGCTTCTTGCTGTCTGCTGACATTCAAATAATGGAGGTCTATGGCGCCTGAGGCAGAAAGGTCCATAAAAGTCCACAAAAACGTGTCAATATTCCTCCATACTGCTCGTCCAATGTAATCCAAGTGTCCTGAGTGGGTAGCGTCCATAATTTACTCGAAACGAAGTCATTTAGAACGTTTTAGAGCCTAAACAGTAGTGTATAGGATTTCCTAATAGCGCCCCCATGCGCGCTCACGATTCTACGGAAGCCGGCAGACCAAACCAGCGCATTCAGCTCGGCAAAGAACTCATGCTCTTCCTCAACACTGAAGTCCTCAGACATTTTTCTTTTGTTGTTTCTTTCTTTGCACAGGTAAACAGCACATTTCTTCTTCTACGCTTGCATTATCGGCAGACCAGACGCTGAATGCGCACTTTCTTCCGGTTTGGTCTGCCGGCTTCCGTAGAATCGTGAGCGCGCATGGGGGCGCTATTAGGAAATCCTATACACTACTGTTTAGGCTCTAAAACGTTCTAAATGACTTCGTTTCGAGTAAATTTTGGATGCTACCCACTCAGGACACTTGGATTACATTGGACGAGCAGTATGGAGGAATATTGACACGTTTTTGTGGACTTTTAAGGACCTTTCTGTCTCGGTCACCATAGACCTCCATTATTTGAATGTCAGCAGACAGCAAGAAGCCTCCCAGATCTCCAGATGCATTTGAGATATCAAAAAAGTACTCCAGAGTTTTGTTCAGCATGGGGGTGAGTAGAAAATGAAGGCTAATCATGTTTTGGGTGTACTATTCCTTTAACTAGGACATGCAAGCACAAGATGATATATTTGTATCAAAACCATACCCTGAAACCATAACTAAATGTTCACTGTCATTCTCTTGCATTAAAGGGAAACTCTATCTCATTCTAAACTCTTTACACCCGTTAGTACGTTTTTTATCCTGTATTGCTCAGTGGGTTTAGATCCATCCAGGTATCCATCAACAAGCATCACATTCCCTTTCCCTAATTAAGAAAATATTCCGCAACATGATCCTGCTACCATCACATTTTAGTGTAGAGAGCTGGTATCCAAAGTCCATGATCTGTCTTGCACAGACCACCCACATGTGGTCAGAGTGGGAAAATAAATCCCTCAGATCTGGTACTCCTCAGGGCTGTGTGCAGAGTCTACCCTAACGCTTTTTACGCCATTTATATCTGAGTGCTTCCCTGTCTATCCCTAATCAAACACCATATTTAAAATAATGCTACTGGTGTGGGTCTGATTTTAAAAGATGAGACGACCTTTAGATTAGAAGTCCATCACCCCACCAAGTAGTGGTACCGCATATAAAAGTGGCTTAAAACTGGCTTTTAAAAAATACATATTTCTATTAAGATGAAAATATTGAAATTGGACCATTTAGAAAGTCAGATATGAGTAAAAATATAGGTTGTATTTCACCAGTATTGAATTTATCCTTAGGCCAAACTAAAATATTTTCACCTTTCATCATTGGAGAATAACTGTAACAACGGACAAGAACAAACTTGAGGTTTTGCTGATGCAGACGTTCTTTAATGGAGCCCCATCATTTGCTCTCTTATTAATGATTAAACAGGGAGTAAGAGACGTTTGAGTGGAAGAAAAGGCTGACACAGCAAAAACACATCTCTGTCTGTGTATTACTAATACACTTTATTAGTAATAACAGTAAAAAAAAAAGAAAAAAGCCACATTTTTGCCATTATAGAACACAACAGAATACCTGTTTTCTTCTTCTAAGGAAGCTTGTTCTTTCTATCCCATCAGGCTGAAAAGGCGAAAGCAGCTCAAGCCGGGTCAATCAGAAAAAGGCCAGCATGAGCAGAGGCCAGCAGTGATCTCTTGTGAACCTGACCCCAACAAGAAGACTGATCAACAGACAGAAGCAGCTAAACCTCCTACAGGTCTGGGTAAGTCATGCAAAGAGAGCTATTCTTCTTTAAACACCTGTAAAAAGTAATAATAGTTTAAATCGCACTTTTATTTTTATGAAGATCTCATATACCAAGTTTGAACAGAAGTAAATGCTTGTATGCATTTCCTTTTTTATTTTATTAAATTTTTTTTAACTGCATTGATTGTCACATGCAGTATAATTCATTTGCAGGCTTCTTTTTCTGCTGAGCTTACTTCTTTTTTTTTTATTCCTTATAACTGACAGATTCCTCTTTTGTTAGAAACTATCCATTTGCCTGTCCGTTTGACTGATGCAGAATCCCCGGGAGGTAGGGGATAGTTTGTATTCAGGCGACCTCAGCAGTTTTACCAGGAAGTTGCATAATCTTGTTCCTGTTATGTTTTGTAGTTGGTGATGAAAATCCCACCATGTCCAAGAAGCCTCAATGCAACAACTTTATCTTTTTACCATCACCATCGTCCGTCCGTCCGTACAGGATTACTTAAAAAAATCATGGATGGATTTTAATGACATTTTTATTAGAGATGTCTCTCATGTCAGGGAATAATCCTTTATATTTTTGTGATTATCCAGATCATAATGTAGATGCAGGGTTGGTTTTTAAAGATCTCTAACATTGTGAGATGGGGATATTCGGTGGAACAAGCAGTTCCCCACTAAACTAGAGGGTGGCAGCAATGACTATCGACAGCTTTAGGATAAGACTCAAAACGACCGGTATTTTCCTGAACATAATCAAGGCAGGAGACAGCTGAACCGGACTGAGGACAAAAAGGAGGAGGAGGAGTAAAGGGGAAGGCCCGAAAGGGTGGCTGGAACAAGGTGTTCGCTCTTACGAAGGCAAAGCTTTTCCTGAACAGAATCAAGAAGACAAAATCAAGAAATAGAATCTATTGAAATCTTATGAACGGATTTTATGGACATTTTTTTACGAGAGGTTTGCCTCATGCCAAGAAACAATTAATTTACATTTGGTGAGGCTCCAGATCTTGTGCGACTTTTTGCTATAGGTCTATCCATCCGTCTTCTTCTGCTTATCCGGGGTCGGGTCGCGAAAGAAGCAGCTTCAGTGGGGAGGCCCAGACGTCCCTCTCCCCAGCCTCCCAAAGCGCACCCAGGCCAGCCGTGAAACATAGTCCTGGGTCTCCCCCTGGGCCTCCTCCAGTTGGATGTGCCTGGAACACCTCACCAGGGAGACGTCCAGGAGGCATCCTAATCAGATGCCCGAGCCATCTCAATTGGTTCCACTCGATGCGGAGGAGCAGCGGCTCTACTCTGAGTCCTCCCTAGATGACTGAGCTCCTCACCCTATCTCTAAGGGAGAGCCCAGACACGCTACAGTAATGGCCATAGATGAGAGTAGGAATGTAGATCGAGCGTAAAGTCGAGAGCTTTGCATTTTGGCTCAGCTCTCTCTTCACCACAACAGACCGGTACAGGGCCCGCTTCACAGAAGACGCCACACCAATCCGCCTATCCATCTTCCCCTCATTTGTGAACAAGACCCCAAGATACTTAAACTCCAGGCAGTACATCCTCCCCAACCCAGAGAAGGCATAGATTTTGCTATAGGTATAAGTCAAAATCTGCTGTTTGGCAGAGGTCTGCACACTCAAGGTGCTTTTCTAGTTTTTAATTAAATCCTGAATTTAACTCTTAACACTCCACATATTCTGTTTCTACTTAGATTTTTACATGGCTGGTAAATATCCCAAACATGATAAAAATGAGTTTTAACACATCAACTTTCTAAAGTATCACCTTGAACAGGCAGTGTTAAACAATGCAGCAGTAGCACTGATGGCATTAAGCCACCTCAGCTAATAAAGTTTTTAAAGTTCGACTTGTCCGAATAAGCATCTTTTTGATGCATCTTTCTTGTCTGACCATGCACTTTACTGTATCTGCAGAGACAATTAGAGAGGATTTTTAAACCCCTTTAAAGACCAGTAAATATAGATTGCTAGAACTGCAACAGGTACCTAAGTGTTTGGTCCAACTTGCTTTATATTTTTTATTCATATAAGAGGAGATTTATGCCTCAATACTTTTAAGTCTCCTATAAAGGATGCATCTTATATTTTGCCATTGATGTGTGTATTTAAACTTCCCCCTGGAGCTTTTCTTCTCTTCATAGTTCATCATGGTGGACATGCTGTGGCTCATGCAGGAATTCTAGCTTTTATTAAAAGAGCTCCAGGCTGTATTTATATGGTTCTGTTCCAGTGTGTAGTATCAGCTACACCTACAGACTGTTAAAGAAGTGAAGAAGTCAGAGGAGTGACTGTGTTCACTAACAGGCAGGTACAGCTGGAGTTCTAGCAGTCGAATGCTTAGTCATCCGCTGTGTTTTAGTGAGTTCACCAACAGTGCCTGTGCCCTGGAAAGAAGAAAATGCTGACTGTGGAGCTTGTCTGCACATAGACTCTGACTATGTGTTTTACAATAACTGCTGCAGCCTGTGCTGAATAACAATAAGGAATGAACAACTGGTACTGACTCAAGAACACAAGAAATGTTCTGTAAGATTCTAGTCTGATTTACCTTTAACATACTCTGAGATGCTAGAAATGTTTTGTTTTTTTATTTACTTAAAGGTAAAGTGGAAGGTTTTCTTTTTTCAGGTGGATCATAAAAATAAGTGGTCCTCTTTATTGTCAATCAAATTGTGTAATGTTTACATAAGGACGTCCTACGTGCTCGTCCCCATTTTCACTTACCGTTGCTGAGTTTTTTTGTTTTTTTTTTTAAGGTAACCTTAATGGAGCGATGCAAACAGCAACTTTTAAAAAGAGCGTGCACAAGGTGAAATGGGCTCGTGCATGCTCGTGCATGCGTTTAATAGACGTTTGCTCTCGGCAGCAGGTACAGGGTTATCCATCCTTTTTTTAAGTGGAGAGGGTGGGTCTTTTTGACCTGACTCCGCCAGATGGATTTGCTCTGCATATCCATCTGGAAACCTTCCGTTGAAGTAATTTTGGGAAGGGGCGAAAATACTGGTTGGCTGATTGGCCTATGTTGGTGACAGATCAACGAAGTATATGACGTAACAGAGCGACGATGAAGAGGAGCCAATTGATAGATCAAACTCTTGCCGAAACCAGTCTGGGGAAAAGCAAGAACATCTTTTCCTCTGAGAAAAGCCTCCAGAGCAGTGTTTTGAAATACTGAGAAATACTGTGTAGTTCCGATAAAACTTGCTCGATAGCCACGCTAACGCTAGTTTCATCGGCTGAAGCCGCCATGTTCTTTAGACTGAACTGTCGCGCTTCTCATTGCGTCACACCTCAATCCGCCTCAAAGCCAACGCTGATTGGACGTTCGTTTGGTGAACGGCTCCAAATTTTCTTTAACGGAGAGTCTCCAGACTGATCTGCGAGTGAAATCAGGATGGTCTCACGAGGCTAGGGTCTTTTCAATAATTAGTGAAAATCCTCCATTATACCTTTTAACAGCTTACTTAAGAGTTAAATCAGTCAAGGGTCGATCATCTGGAATCAGACTATCTTTCACATTTCCGTCTTCCTCATGTCTTACCTTTACTTTTCAGCCTACAGCTACCGCATGCTATTATGTATAGGCACATTTCCCAATAAAATACTTTCTCTTTTCTGTTTATAATAAGACAAAAATGTATAAATTTTCAAGATATTGTAAATAATTTAAGACTTTTCAAAAGTATTGTCCTTTACCTTTTAGGTGATGGCTGTAAAAGTAATAATCAGGCAAAAAAGGAGAAGAAGAAGCCCCCAGGGACAGTGGAGTTCATTGTGAGTAACCTAACATTCACTTCAACCTTTAAACAAGATGCAGCAGACGTCTCCTGAAATTCTCTGCCATTTTAGTATGTGTGCATTTCTAAGAGAAGCCAGGTTTCACAGAGAAGCTGCTCTGTGGTTGCAGGTGGGAGCTCATGACTCCCTCAACAGCATCGCACTGAAATTCAACATCACCCCAAACAAGCTGGTCCAGCTGAACAAGCTCTTCGCCCGCAGCGTCTACCCCGGCCAGGTGAGAGGGCGCAAGCCATTCAAACCGTCTGATTTCGCATCATGGTTACAGATCAGCAGACTGTTTGCTGGCTTTCTGACACTTTCAGAAACTGTTCGTCCCTGATGTAAGCCAAACGGAAACTGACCCAAAGTCTCCAACGCTCACTGAGGCCTCCTTCACTAACGGTGTTTCTGACAAACATGTGAGTCAAAATTGTTGTGTAAATTACAGCAATCTTAAACTCCTAATCATATGGCACAGTATGAAATCTTATTTCAGGTTTAAATGAACCCGTTTTAATGCCTGAATTTGTAGTTATAGCATGAATCATCTAATAATTTTCCCTTTTCTTTACATGAACCTAAGCAGTTCTTTATTAAATGGCCATGCTGTGCACTGTAATAAGATTTGTTGCTTAACGCGTTCCAGGATTGCACTCCAAGCTGCCGGTCAGCAAAATCCATCCGTCGGGAGTTCTCACCAAATTCTGAGGATGAGAGTCCAGCAACGGTTAAGTTCATCAAGATGAGCTGCAAGTACTTCACGGACGGCATGGTGAGAAAGCTTGGAAGGTTTGCTGGTGAAGATTCTCATTCATTTAGGTCATAGTCATTCCTAAAAAGTTAAAAACAATCCACTTACAGGGGAACAACACACCTCGCATGTTCAGCCAGACCAACCCTTTAACGACCTCCTTTCAGAGACATCTCCAATTTCTCCAAATAAATGGAATAGTTTATTTCCTAGATAAAGTTGGGACTGCTGTGGCATAAATGAGTGCTTTCCTTTTTCAGGGTGTGGTTGGAGGAGTGTTAATTGTGACCCCAAACAACATCATGTTCGACCCCCACAAGTCTGACCCCTTGGTGATCGAGAATGGCTGTGAGGAGTACGGCCTCATCTGCCCCATGGAGGAGGTGGTATCCGTGGCGCTGTATGATGATGTGTCGCGCATGAAGCTCAAAGACGCTTTGCCTTCGTAAGAGCAAACGCCTTGTTCCAGCCACCCTTCCAGGCCTTCCCCTTTACTCCTCCTCCTCCTTTTTGTCCTCAGTCCAGTTCAGCTGTCTCTTGCCTTCAGCTCTGTCTCTTTCAAAGCTTTCATCCTCTCCATTTTACCTTTTCATTTAACATTATTTTGAGTTGAATGCAATTTTTTTATTTGAGTTGGTCATGTTTTTTTATTTTTCCCCCCACACTTTTGTTTTCCTCTCCTACCATCCTTGTTCCGGTCTGTGTGGTGTCCCTTATCCTCGCAGAGACCTACCCCAGGATCTCTGTCCTGTCTACAGGCCTGGTGAGTGGGAGCAGCTGCCATCCGAACAGGAGCTGAACCCCTTCAGTCGGTATGAAGCCCTGGCTCCAAAACAACCCATAGTTTTTGATGATATTGAATCTACACTTTCAGAAACTGGTAAGATGTTGTCCGATATATATTTTTTTTCAATTATTTTCCAGATGATATTATTTAATACTTTTTTTTCCCCAATTCTTCCAGTACTTTTTCCTCCAATAACTATATTTTCCAGACTATAAGCCGCACTCACTGTCCCTAAACCAAACCTGTAGGGGGAGCTCCAAATATCACCCCTAGATTAGTGAAGATGAATACTAGCTCCTGTTAGCTTGTTGACTTGTGGCAGTAAGAGCTTCTAATGAAAGATGGGGCTTCAACAGCTCTTTATTGCAGCTCTGCAGGAGTAGCACAAAATCTCTTCATTGGTTTAATGCTGCAAATAAATGTGAAAATGTGTGAATTCTGGACATTTTTTCTCTGTGGTGCCTGCTGCTTGCATGTGCTTGCGCTAAATTAAAATCAGCACTTTCTTCTTTTGTTTCCAACTTTTCGTTTCCGGCGATCCACAGAACCTCTGCATAAACCGCATCGGTAAAAAAGTAGCAGCTTATATTCCAGAAGATATGGTAACTAAAAAAGACCAGTTTTTGATATTTCATTTCTGTTAAAGGGGAACGCCGTTTTTTTTTTTACATTTGGCCCTTGATTTTACGTTATTACATCATGTTCTACTCACCCATAAGTCTTGTGTCAGTTGGAGCTGTTCTGAAGATATTCGGTTTTGTAATATCCAGGTAACGTCTTCCTATGGGCAACGACTTGAAGGCACAAACTGAACTGTTCTAATTTATTCTTTATGGTACGCCATCATTCATAACATGTAGGCGAATCACTGTCCCCCAGACGTCCACGGTTATATTTTTTTATATTCTTTTAAAAACAAGACGCCGTGTGCATGACGTCATCCATGTGTGCCGGCTACCGTTCATTCTTCCTGTCTGCTGAACTGCTGCAAGGTTTACTCACATGCCTGGAAGATGTCTAATGCTACTACCACAGACAATCTCACTCTCGAAATGGAATTGAACGATTCAGTTTAGTTAGCCGAATGAATAGAAGGGGTAGAGCGTAGACACCTATAGCTGGGGCTTCCTGTTACGACTCCAGTGCGCATGCGCGGATGACGTCATACACGCGCCGCTTTGTTTTCAAAACATGTCCTTTTAAAACCATATCGGTTTTGCATTCTATACCCCCTTTAAACTAATTTGATACTAAACCCCTGAAGCTATTTCTAAGCATTGTTTAATGAACAATTTTACTTATCTTAAAACATTTTTAAAACAAAGACATAAATAATAAAGTAAAATTGTAAACAAATTAAAGCAGTTAGCTGAACATTATTTAGGTTTTCAGGTTTCAGACATCTTTAGTCTAAACCTTCCAAAATTAGTGGATTTCAACTTGCAACCTTTTTCTGATCAGTAGAAATTTTGTTAGTGTTTCTGATTCAGTTTTCAACAAGCCTTTTTACCATTTGTTTTATATAATTTTGACTTTTAAAATATTTTGTATAGTAGCCTCCTTACTAATAATAGAAGTTTTGGGGAGCTGAGTGAAGCATCTCTTTTATTCAGGTTTTTAAATTTCCAATTCTCTACTTAGCAAGTAGTAAACCAGCTTAATCAATGCCTAAGCTTTCATGATATCCTTGTTTCTTATTCATAACACCCTTTTATTTTATTCCTGTTACAACTACGTATTGTTTATTTTTACGATTTTATAACATTTTTAGAGGTTTGATTATTTAAGTGCTATTGAAAATATCTCACAAATCTACCACTAACTTCAGAACATTATTCAGTGTGGTTTTAAAAAAAGGATTCTAACATCAACACCTCATTTTTCTTTTAACTTATAAAGACTTTTTGAATTTTAATATTTCTCATCAAATCTGACCAAATAGCATAGTACAGGTAGCGTTTAAGTGTCTTCCAACATCTGGCCCTTTTTTTAGGCAGACTAAATTGAGGCTGAAAGGGCTAAATATACACTCACCGGCCACTTTATTAGGTACCCCATGCTAGTAACGAGTTGGATCCCCCTTTGCCTTCAGAACTGCCTCAATTCTTCGTGGCATAGATTCAACAAGGTGCTGGAAGCATTCCTCAGGGAGTTTGGTCCATATTGACATGATGGCATCACACAGTTGCCGCAGATTTGTCGGCTGCACCCGTTCCACCACATCCCAAAGATGCTCTATTGGATTGAGATCTGGTGACTGTGGAGGCCATTTGAGTACAGTGAACTCATTGTCATGTTCAAGAAACCAGTCTGAGATGATTCCAGCTTTATGACATGGCGCATTATCCTGCTGAAAGTAGCCATCAGAAGTTGGGTACATTGTGGTCATAAAGGGATGGACATGGTCAGCAACAATACTCAGGTAGGCTGTGGCGTTGCAACGATGCTCAATTGGTACCAAGGGGCCCAAAGAGTGCCAAGAAAATATTCCCCACACCATGACACCACCACCACCAGCCTGAACCGTTGATACAAGGCAGGATGGATCCATGCTTTCATGTTGTAGACGCCAAATTCTGACCCTACCATCCGAATGTCGCAGCAGAAATCAAGACTCATCAGACCAGGCAACGTTTTTCCAATCTTCTATCGTCCAATTTCGATGAGCTTGTGCAAATTGTAGCCTCAGTTTCCTGTTCTTAGCTGAAAGGAGTGGCACTCGGTGTGGTCTTCTGCTGCTGTAGCCCATCTGCCTCAAAGTTCGACGTACTGTGCGTTCAGAGATGCTCTTCTGCCCACCTTGGTTGTAACGGGTGGTTATTTGAGTCACTGTTGCCCTTCTATCAGCTCGAACCAATCTGGCCATTCTCCTCTGGCATCAACAAGGCATTTCCGCCCACAGAACTGCTTAGAAATTAAGTGTTAACGAGCAGTTGGACAGGTGTACCTAATAAAGTGGCCAGTGAGTGTATATTTTTTGTTTTAGACTTCGACAGACTTTATTGTCATACACACGGAGTGTATACAAAAAGAAATTTCCATTTTTAAAGTGCTACAGTGATAAAGTAAGATATACCGTTTTTAAACATTCCGTGCTTCTTTTTTTTTATGTAAAAAGAGTCATTATATGGATGAATATGTTAATTTAAAGGTTGGAATTTTCTTGGTTGCTTCAGATAGATTTATTTTCAAAGTGGTGCATTAACATATTCCCTATTCCCAGTGAGCACAGAGGGTGAGCAGACTGAAAAATCTCCGTCAGATGAAGGATTTACGGAACTAGAGCCTACTGTCAACGGGAGCACTGAGGAGATGGAGGGGAACTCCTCAACAACACTCTGCAGAGACAATTATGAACTTGTAGGACCAAGCTGTGGAAGTCGGAAAGATTCCCGATACTATTCTGTCCTCGGTCGAGCTAAAGGGAGGCTGGATGACGAAGAGGATGAAGGTGTTGCTCAGAATAGCTCCATTGAGGATGGAGAGTCGGTCCAATCTGCTTTAGAGACAGAGAAACAGGGTAGTGTGCAGGATAAACCCATGACTCAGCAAGGAACTGGAACCAAAGATGTAAACTCTCAAGGACTGGAAGAGCTGCTAAATAGTGTAGATGATAAAACACTCAGGAGGCCGAGTCTTCAGGAGGCTTCAGATGTTCAGGGAGGTCTGGAGAGGCAAAACCCAGACAGACCAGCAGAGGGCGATGAAGTGAGTACAGAGGAGAGTCAAAAGAAAACCCAGGAATCAGAGACCAGGTCCTGGCTGCTGAAGAGGATGCAGATTCCAATCAAAGGTATAAATTAATCTATGAGTACTGTATGCAGGTACCATAGGATGAATAAGTTGCAGCTGACAATCTCGTGGATTGTGAAAAGTTCAACAAAGATGCATGGTTAGGAATTTTTAACCTTTTCCTTTTTCTCTGGACAGACATGCTTTTATCATCAGAGGAGAAAAGCAAAAACCCACCCATGTTCCTGTGTTTCAAAGTTGGGAAGCCAATGAGAAAGTCCTTCGCCATGACTTCCAGTCCCACCCCTTTACTCAAGGGCCGGGAGACACAGCCGGAGTACTGGTTTGCTGTTCCACAGGAGAGGTCAGATTTGCATCAACACACAAATGGCTAGATTAAAGTATAGAAAGATATACTCTTCATGTGGATGATTGGTTGAAATGTGAAATGTGTTTGTTTCAGGGTGGACGATCTGTACTCCTTTTTTGTCCAGTGGTCTCCTGACGTGTACGGGAAAGAAGCGCGAGAGCAGGGCTTTGTTGTGGTGGAGAAAGACGAGCTGGACATGATCGACAACTTCTTCAGCGACCCAGCGTCCTGCAGCTGGGAGGTGAGGCAATCTGGCTAGAACTTGCCAAACAGAAATCTGTTTTCGCACTTTTATTTATTTATTTCCACTCGTGTCTCTTTTTACTTCTGCATCTATTAGATCATCACCATTGACGAGGCCAAGCGTCGCCAGAGTTTTAGCAGCTGTGACAGGGACTCTTCCGTCGATGCTCTGCCCATGCTCATCGATAGCAGTGATATACTACAAGATGCACACATTGAAAAGGTAGTTGTGATTTCTCTCCAAAAAATACAGACTGTAATTCTAGCTAATCTAGCTCTGTCCATCTAATGAACCTAGAGCAGAGCTTTCCAAAGTGTGGGCGCGGTCTGAAGAGGAGAAGACGCTTCTCTTTAGATCTTATGTCCACAATTCATGAGAGGAAGAATATTTTAGTACATGTATTGGAGGAAAGGAAAGGAGAAGGAGAGGAAAGTGGGGAAATTTTGAATGGCTACTACTGTGTACAATATGTGGCTGTCTAAGAAGCACTACAGGTGGGCCTACTCACCACCTTCATGTCTACCAGTTATGTGAATGAGATGTTTCTGTGTTTAAATTATCAAAACACAAAGTGGACACGCCGACTAACGTAACACCAGGAGAGTTCATACCTGCTGATATGTGATGCCCTGTTGTAGGAACATCCATTGCTCTTTACATATAAATGAAGAAAACAGGTTCAAATATGTAATGCTAGCACATCCCTTATCCATATATGTTGTGAAAGTCCATTTCTGTTGGGCAGATAAATCTAGGAAATTTTCATTTTTCAAATGAACACGAATGAGTCAAACTTTTTAAGGCAGTGTGTCCCATGTTGTCAGCTACACGGAGGCTCACATTTTTACCTACAGAACAACAGTGAAAGCTTTGGGTCACATTCAGACCTTCAAATGAATGATGACACCCCTGTATGGGTGCATGTTGGACAAACATAAAAGTGAGTGCATTCACATGAATGATTCAGTTTTCTGTGTTAAGTTCCGTTGGGTTGTGAGATCTCACAACAGTTTTACATTTTAGGCTACATTAAAAGTTTCCTAAGTGGCCGCTAAGTAAAGAAATTCACTTTTGTGCACTTTTACCTGTAGCATAACCACACTATTTACATTTACACATAAAGCATAGGGATGGGGGGATGGTCATTGTTTGGCAAAGCAATCCCCAGTAGCCCTGAGTTCATATGTGATTATGTAAAAAAAATGTGATATTATTCTAGAGGATGGCAGAGAGTCAAGATGCAAGTTAAAACCACTGAAATGTGTTAAAAATATTCCGGGTGTAGTTAGTTCTTTGAACAGGGTTTACACTTCCACGTACAAGTTAAATACAACAAATGCTGGTTGAAAACTGAATCAGAATAACACTTTTCTACTGATCAGAAAAGATTGTAACTTGAAGTAAACCAGTATATATATATATATATATATATATATATATATATATATATATATATATATATATATATATATATATATATATATATATATATATTTTTTTTTTTTTTTTTTTAAACTGAATATGTCTGAAACCTGACTTAGAGGAACCTCCTGCTCTTTGCTGAAGAATAGATTTCCTCAGCATGCTGCTGCCACCACCATGCTTCGCAGTGTGAACTGTAGCTCAGTATGATGTCAAGTGTTGGTAGAGATTGGCTCGCAGGGAAAAAAGTTTAGTTTTGCTGCCTTCTTTCACAAGTTTGCTGTTTCACTTTGGAGTTTTTATTTCCTTTGTTCTCCAGATGTTAGATTTTCTTATTCTTCTCTCACTTCAGCTGCAGCCCCTTTTGAATTAGCATGGGCCTCTTGGCTGTTTCAGTTGAAGCTGTTATGTCTGCTGTGTTCATTGAACATTATAATAATGTTTGTGCACTAATTTTCTCTAACAAACCTCTAATGCTTTCACAGATCGGTTGCATTTTTACTGAGATTAAATTCCAAAAATGTCCTCTGCACCTCCCTAAGAAGACAATTGCCTTTCTTTTCCTTCAGCTTGCCTGTCGTCTGCCAGCCCGTGTGCAGGGCTACCTGTGGAGACTGGCCTACAGCACAGAGAAACACGGCACCAGTCTGAAGACTTTGTACAGGAACCTGGCGGATGTGGACAGCCCTGTGCTGCTAGTTATCAAAGACATGGATCAGCAAGTAAGTAACAGGCCTTAAAGAAAAAAAAATGTTTTGACTTTAGTGCCTTTTATTGGTGGAAAATATATAGAGGGGGAAAACAAGTCTGGTAATTTGATTATATTATGTAGTTTTTTATAAATATAATATGTTGTTTTTTTATCTTATCACAGATATTTGGAGCTTTTTCAACTCATCCCTTCAGAGTCAGCGAACATTTCTATGGCACTGGAGAGACGTTCCTTTATAGTTTCTGCCCTGAAATTAAGGTTGGCTTCACTAGTCTCACAAACCGATCACTAATTACAGTGATAACCTAACTTCAAACATAACATGCCATCATTTCAGGTGTACCGATGGTCGGGGGAGAACTCTTACTTTGTGAAAGGCAACACTGACTCTCTGCAGATGGGAGGAGGAGGGTGTGTACTGTTACCACTTATTCCCTTTTCTGTTGAGCAGAAAAAAATGCAGTTTAACCAAATCCTGATTTTTTTCTTCTCTAATGTAGCGGCCATCTGGGTCTTTGGCTGGATGAGGAACTTTACAGAGGCACCACCACTAAATGTGCTACCTTCAACAATCAGCCACTTTCTGCCCAGCAGGACTTTAACATCCACAATCTGGAGGTGTGGACCTTTGAGTAGGCTCATCTTCTCAAACTCCAAATATATCCTCGCATCTTAAGTCATTGACAAAACACTCGCAATGCTTCACTTGGAGGCGGGCCTAGTTACTCATGAATGATTTGGAACGTACTGTGATACAGAAGCAGATGGAGAGGCTGTGTTCTGCAGGGTGCTTAGTGATGACTCCACATCTATAAACAGGTGGAAGTGAGACAAAATGCCCTCTGCTCATCTGCTGCCTTTCATATACAACAGTGGCTCCAGCTTCCCCTGCGTGAACGGTGCCTCACCACCTCCAGCTTGGAGAGAGATGAGTGGAAAGCTGCTTGTTGACCGCGTGGCTAAAACCTAAAAAGGCCAAAATGCTCACATTAATGTTCACTTTATTCTCAATGACAGCAGATGAAGCTGCACGAATGAATAGAGAGTCTCAGAATGCTGTGGGGTTATCCTTACAGACACAATAACAGTGTTAATAATATTTGTATGTTTGACAATGTGCATATTTATGTACTGAAGGAATTTGGAATGTCAGCGTTTTTTTCCCCCTCTTTATTCCTCTAGTTTAGCTAAGGACTTAAAAGGAAGTAAAAAATGCCTTGGTTCATTTTAAAATCTTCATCAAATAACTCAAATGTTTACATCAGAAGCGCTTACCTCCCCTTTACTGATGACTTCCTCTCTTGTGGTGAGTCATAAATGGCATTAATGAGACGCGGTTTGCTCCCAAATAAACATGATCAAAAAACCTACCTGCTAGAGACTGAAACAAGTTTGCAATGACCAAATATTTCCTGTTTTGTTGATGACCTTGTATTTTATAAGAATATTTTTGCATTTTATTTTTATATTGTTTTTTTTATGAGACAAATGCTCCTTTTGCAGCTTGTTTTTTTTTCTTCTATTTTTTACAGTAGTTAATGACTGACCTTGAATAATTTTATGTTTGAATTTTTTTTTTCTTCTTTTTTTTTTTTTTTTTGGTCATTGCTGAGCCAGTTTAACATAAAGCCACTTTACACTACAGGATGCTAATGATGCCGTTATGGCCCCTAATAATGAGCATTACTTTAATATTCCTATTAAATCGTTACTGAATGTCTTTGAATCTTAACCAGAGGGGCAAAGCTGCCTGTCCATCCACGGCTAGCTCTCTGTGTTGGGTAAATCTTTATGAAGAAGGGATCACATGTTCTTGCACTCTTAAAATGGCACTAACCGAACAATCAAATCTACTAACTTGCAATTGAAACTTTTTTTTTGTATCTGAATGAATGCTTGTAGGGCATGAACATGCAATACAGCTATAATCCATCACCACTACCTTTCATACTCTCTTCACTGATGCCAGTTAAATGCTTCATGTTTAGTTGAACATTATTATTTTAAGCTGGCTTGTGTTGTAACTGTGAATGCTCCCCAAGTATTATTTCTTGTGAATCCAAAACTGCTGTGATGTCACTATGACGTTATTTATTGTGTTGTGATTGCCACCGCATTTAAATCCAAATAAATGTTAAAACATATAAAAAAAAGCAACTGGTTGGTCATGATTTCAGTTTGTCAAAGTGGGAACTAAGGCTATTTACTGAAAACGGAAATGTACCTTTAATGATATGTTGTCATCTCACCAAAGATTGTTTCTATTAAGGAGGTATCACTTCGTCGTGTGTTTTTTATTTTTTATTCAGAATTACTTGCTAAAAACAAGACAGGTTTGGCAAATTGACAACTTATTTGTAATCTTTTTCTGCTCCTAGGTATTTAGAAATTATGGTCGTTAACTAAATTTACCAACTTTATATTTTATTAAAACAAAAGTCACCCGAGTACAACTCGTTCAGCCAGAAATTAACGATCTTTGGTGGGTTGTAATGCGGAACAAAAACACCCACCGGTGTTGAACGTGAAGTCATAACCTAACCCTCACTACTAAACTTTCACCATGGCAAGAAACGAATCGAAATCCAGTGAAAATGCTGATGAATCATGTATTTTCTGCCTTATTGCGCACAACAGAGATGAAGAAACGACAGTTCTTAAGAAGGTAAGGTGTTTCATGTTTAGGGATCATTCACCTGGTATACGTTTCTAATGAACTTCCTGAATAAATTTTTTTGGTACTACTGTATTTGGTCGATTATAATAGTTTTTACGAATGAATCAGGTTTGTTATTAGTCTGATTTTTGTTTTGTTGACGAAACTGAAGTTGGCTTCCGATTCGAGAAATAAAGGGCATTTCACTTTTTTCCCCTACCTTCAGCATCTTGAATCTATTCTAATTAAAATACTACAACACCTGGACACATCAAACCTGGGGTAGATTATTCTAAACTACTTGTAGATAATTTCAAACAGGTGTCGGATTTGTCAAACCTTAATAGAGGCTGTTTTTAGCACTTTTATTTTTACCGTCCATGTCACACTATGAGGATTCTGGCTCTAATGCTGCTGCACCTATACCAGGGGCGGAGGTAGGGGGGGGGGGGGGGGGGGGGGTATGGATGTTGTGATTGTTTATTTTCCTGTTGAATCAGTATAGATTGACCCTGAGGTTCTGGTGCCGATCCGCTTTCGGGCCACCCCTCAGTGTATGTTGGTTATTGCCTGGCCACCCTTATAAAAATGTTCTGGCTACGCCTCTGACCAAGACAGAGTCCTGACCTGGACTAGATTATTCTAAACTATGTGTAGAATAATTAAAACCAGGTGTCGGATTTGTGAAACCTTTCTCTGATTTTTGAAACCTCAATAGAGACCGTTTTTTTTTACACTTTTTTTTACTGTGCATGTCACACTATACTACTGCACCTAGACACATCAAACTTGATAGTAGTTTAGAATAATCTAGTTCAGGTTTGATGTGTCTAATGGGAAAAATGACCTGTTTCTCATATCAGAAGCTAGATTTGGAAGCCATCTTCAGCTTTGTGTGTTGTTATGTGTTTATTATCATTATTTATTATTGTTATTATAGCGTTAAAATGGATGAATTTGATCTGGAATACCACACGTAGCCATTTCCTCCTTTGATTTACTATCATGTGAATAAGTTCTCTCTTTTTGTTCCATGTTCTGCTTTAAGTTAAATTAACAATCTGAAATTCCAGTTCGTCAATGTGACGAATATTTGTTAAATAAATATTAAATGCACATTTTATGATATAAAGATGAGTCAAGAAACCATCAAGATAAATTCTTATGGCTTGTTTTGATTCATTATGATCCCACCTTTTTTCCTTCTAAAACCTCAAGGTCAGTTTGTTAATTTACTCCCATAAAAGCCAAATTCCCTGAATTGTTTATTGTGATGATGAGAAGTATTTCCTCATTGTGACGAGTCATGACTTATGATTCCCCATTTGCCTGATGTTGTTTTTTTATGTTTGTTTTTCATTATTTTTCCAGTAACATCCAGGAAGTAAAAAAGGATCCAGAAAAAACAGATGTAAAGCAATGCAGGTCTTTCGTGTTTAGGTCAAAGCTATTTGGAGAGTTCCTATGATAAAACCATTTCTAATCAAGTAGAAAAAACACAAACTTTTCTAACAATTACACACAAAAGACAATGGATTATCACCAAGACCACTAGGAAAATATTCTGGGCACTGAAGTGACACAGGTCATAACCTTGCTCCAAAACTCTCAACCTACAGCTGAAATAAAATATCTGTAAATAAAAGTCAACCAAAAAGTTCCTGCCATGTTTTAACATGTAAGGAACAAGAAACCATCTTTTTTTAAAGCAATGCAGGTATGGGATGCTTAAGCTTTCTTTTGTAACATCCATATCATTTCACTCCTCAGGACAAGGAGCTGGTGTGCTTCAAAGATATTTATCCCGCAGCTCCTCATCATTACCTGGTCATTCCAACTGAACACATTATCAGCTGCAAATCGCTGAAAAGAGGAAACATTGGCCTCGGTCAGTTATATGTTCTCCTTATTCTACGTTCATTTTCATGGCTACTGCTTAAATCTATCAAAATGACGCAAATGCTCTTAAAATGTCTTGCAGCTAGCCTTCACCTTTTTTTATATTTAGAAATAGTGACGTTTTGACCTGTGGGTGATTCCAATAAAGCACCTAGAAAACATTTACTATTGCTGTTTCAAAATAAAAGAAAATGACAGGGGCTCTAATTAAATTTTCTAAATAAATCATATATGTTCAACAGTGGAAAGGATGGCTAACTTTGGGAAACAGGTGCTCCGTGACCAGGGGATCACTGATATGGAGGATGTAAGGTAGGAGAAGAAGCCGGCCACTAAAAACATCCCCTTCTTTTTTATTTCATCTTCTGGTGTTTTTTTTTTTCTTCCTACATATGCCTAGAGTTAAATGTTTCTGTGAGATTTTCTGACTGAAAAAGAAAGAATAGGTTTGCTGATTTAAACATCAGAAATAATCAAAGTGACAAAATATAAATGACAAAAACAACAATATGCAGCACTGTGACCAAAGGAAAGAATTCAGACAGACGGGCAGAAATGGATGGATTAAAATAGACCCCAAAAAAAGCAGATGGTTTATTTTCCAACAGGCACTTTTCAACCAGATTGTTATCAAGTGGACACATGTAAACACAACACACTTTCCTTTCTTTCTTTTCTTCTTGCTTACACCCCTTCTTGAGTCCTCGCTTAGGTGTCTCCTTCCTTGGTTCCTTTCTTCCTTGTGTCTGTCCTGTCCTTTCCCCCTTCCTACTATTCTTCCTTTGTTTCCTGTATTGTTTGTCTTTCCTTCCACCCTTTTCTGTGTTGCCACCCTCTCATCACAGTGCTTTTTTCCTTTCTTCATTTCTTGTCCTTCCATCTTTCCCTCTTTTGTGTCCTTCTCCCTCTTGTTTCCCTTTCATATCCATCAAATCTCCCTTTGTTTTCCATGCTGTTTATCCATGTATTAATTTCTGTCCTTTTTTTCCCCCTCCAGTTGCCATTCCTTTTGTTCTTTTTGTCAATCTGTCTGCATCTGGTTTTTGTACGCTCCATACCTAAACTTATGAAGTCAAATTTTTTTTTTTTTTAAATATGTGTTTATTAAGTTTTCAAAGTGAAACATACAAAAATCACACCGTATAAAGCATACATATATATTAAAAAATGTGGGTCTAAGGAAAAAATTCCTCTTACCAATACAACAATAGTATTAATACAAAAAAAGGGACAAAAAAGCCATGGAAACAAGCCAGACAAATTATCTAAGTCACGGTTACACTGCACTGATTACCATTTACACCTTAGGATAGTACTACATGTCTATGAAGGCACGGGTGGCATACTAAGAAACTGAGCGGCTTTCGGCGTCAGTCTTAGGCTGAGAAATATGGTCCAGAACTGGCTGCCAGATTCTACAGAACTTATTAGTGGAGCCCTTAACATCATACCGCAATTTTTCCAAATGAAGAATCTCAGTAAAATTGCTTATCCACATTTGAAACAGAGGAACCTTGTCAGTTTTCCACAACCTTAATATTACTTTCTTAGCTATTACCATTCCATAAACCACAGTTGTTTGTATAGAAATGCTGCAGTTCCTAAGTGAGGGAGAGTGTCCAAACAATGCAATTTGGGGGTCTTGAATCAAGGTGCATTTATACACCTCAGAAAACCTTTTGAAAATGTCACCAATATTGAAAGAGCTTGGGACATGACCAGAACAGATGAGTCAAGGAGCCATCAGTAGATTTACATCTATCACATTTTGGAGATATGAAGTCCATTTTTAAAGGTAAAATACATATGGACCAAATATGTAGTGTATAAATTGATAGGATTTGTTGCATTTGAATGTTAAGATGTGGGGGGAAATGGGAGAGGGAATCTGGAAAACTTGATCAGCAAAAATATTTGATTTGGCATGTGATGACCGGTTTGTAGTTATCTATTTGAACTGAGTTAACTAAGATATGGTCAGATTTTGACAAAAATAAATTGAGTTTGGCACGGATATGCGTTTGTCCTCCAGGTTAGGGTTCCACCAGCCTCCCTTCACCTCAGTAGACCATCTTCATCTTCATGTGCTCGCCCCGGCCAGCAAAATCTCTACTAGCATGGACTACAAGTTTACACCAGGAACAGATCGTTTTATTACAGTGAGTTTGGGAGATAATTTTCTTCATATTCTTCATTTCAATGCTATGTTTTTTATCCTCTAGGTAGGTGCAGTAATGTCTATTGTTTTTCTAAAATGATCAAAAAATTATTTTTTTTAATCTCTTTCTATTTATTATTTTTCTAACTTTCCAGGAAGAGTATTTAAGGAAACGCTTGGAGAAAGTGAGGCCAAAAGTTTGTGAAATGATTGGACAGTTTTTTGAGCTGAAGTGAGGTTTCAGGTCCGAGACTAACCTTTAAGGGATTCCAACGGAGCAGCACATTATCCTTCATCAACAGGAACTTTGCAAAACAAAAAAAAAAACTAGGACCCTGCACTCAGGGCCAAATAGCAGCAGGAAAGTAAAGTTTAAAAAACATTAGCTGCTAAAAACTGGTGAAGGTTCTCAGTCATCCAGGTCAAAGTCATTCAGTGCAGTGAGGAATGCTCGGATCTTTATATTGGAGAAAACAAACGTCTCCAAAAACGCTTGGCCCAACACAGAAGAGCTACCTCCTACGGTCATGACTCTGCGGTACATCTGCACCTTATGGACAAAGGACACTCTTTTTGAGGACCAGAATGTTCACATTTTGGACAAAGAAGACAGGTGGTTTGAGAGGGGGGTGAAGGAACCCATCTATGTTAAAAAATACAACCTTAAACAGAGGGGGTGGACTCAGGTTCCAGCTTTCAAAAACTTACAATGCAGCTATTGAGTTAATCCCTTCCCGTTATCATCGCAGCTCCTGTACAGGGAGCGGAGGACCTTGTCTATTCAGCCAGTCCAACCCCCTTTTAGACGCTTAGACGGGTATGGGGTATTGCAGTCTAACAAAAGAAGCCAAAGAATCCCTATTCCAAATGGGTGGACCCCTTCGTCTGTTCCAACTGCATGTTTTCAAAACAAAGACAAGGCTTTGATGGGCTACTGTATACAACCTCGAACTCAACGCTATTCCATTTTGAGTTGAAAAAGCTTCTGGGATGGGAAGCAAAATGTCTTCAAACTTGGAAATGAAGTCCAGTGGATTTTTTTTTTTTTTTTTTTTTTTAATAGCTGCTCGAAAGTTTATGGACATGCTCAAAATGTACACAATCAGTGGTTTGTAATTGCTTTTTTTGTTTTGTTTTTTTAACAACTGTTTGCACTGATTTTTTTTTTCTAGTACACTTTTGAATAATTGTTTAGACAAAAGTGAAAATTCTGTAATTTCAGTAAAATATGAAGGTGACCAGAGGGCAATTTAAAGCAAAACTGCCAGTAAATTATCAGTTTATCAGTTTAAGAATGATTATTTTAATCTATTTAAATCACTTTGTGTTTTATAAAAATGTATAATAAAAAAAATTTAAAAAACAGAATAATGTTTACATTTTATGCAATAGAACAGGGGTTTGTGACTTGAAGAGTGTGGATATAGAAAGAAAAAATTTTAATGCTTGTAGACAATTAAAAGTAATTTTGACCAATAGAAATAAACCTCAACACCCATAACAGTTCTTTCATCAGCACAGAAAGCTCAGATATATCTCTATGTTTTACTAAGAAAAGTTCTACTAGGCATCATGTTAAATGCATAACTGTTCAGAAAAGTCGCAAAAGGACCAAACAGCAATTAATAGGATAGAAATGATCAGAAAAGGTTTTGCGCAGTGTAGCTTATGTTAGCATTTTGGATGTAAATGTTAAATTTAAGATGAATAACATATTAACCAAATTCAACACTGAAATCAAAGTAATCTGTCCTTTTTATCATTTCATTAGTATTAATTTTATCACTCCAATACAAAAATTCACTGCAGCATTCAGCTTAACATTATGACTGGAACTCAACCAGTTACTATTGCCTGTTTAATAATGCAGGACACTGAAATTACAAAATAAAAGCTTCACTTGTCAATAGTAACTATTTAGCTGATAGCAGATTAGTGTGTACATTTTCGCATAGGAGGTTGCTTCCATATTCAAAGCTGACTTGTAAAGTACAACCTAAACATAGTGTAGTTCAAAAAAAGGATTATCAGGCCACTTGGATGCAAATATATGCATATATTTTTTTCTGACTAATCAGAGTTGGTATGAAGCTATCGTAAATGGCCTGATGTATTTATTACATAAATGTCAAACATGAGGGAATGTTTTAGCCTTATATCATGAATGCTGGATCCTGTTTTAGGGTCACAAGAACGATTTAGAAATTATAATCTGATGGATACAAAGAAACTATTTGACTGTTCTTAAAATTTTGTAAAAAAAAAAAAATATTTCCCCTCTGAATCCAACTCAGCACCAGAACATTTGACTCACTCTGGTACAATAAGCACCTACTGGCATGCCCCTTTTATTACATTCAAGGAAGTATACAATATTAAGTCTATAAGGAATACAAAAAAAAAACAATATTTTATATAAACATTGATAGTCTTTAATACCTTTTGGTTGAATTTTCCAACATATTTATGTAGGATAGGGTCATAGAAATGAGTAAAGTTGGTTTTCCCCTCACTGCAATTGCATTTTTTTTATTATTATTTTATTTGTACCTATATTGTACCTTTTTTTTTTTTTTTTTTTTTTTTTTTTTTTTTTACAATTTATACAAAGAATGTGCAAAATATTACAGATGAACATTAAAAAAGTATGTTGGGGTCTAAGTCAGGCAAAGAGCATACAGAACCCAAGCTGAAGAGGAAGCTGAACAACACACTGGCAGATTAGATTATAAATCCAGAATAGTGTGACAGTTAAAGCTTTTGCAATGGCACAGTGTGAGGGTGTAGGTTTGATCTCCACTTTGGTAGGGAATCTATTGGTCTTAAGTTAAATTGGTCTGATGTCATTGGTACTACTCATAGTGCATGCTCCTATTTTTGTTTTAATGCTTGACGTGAGCATCAGGGCGCATTTCGTTTAAAGAGAAAACAGCATTTTTTGCTACATTTATAGAAATTTTATAAGCACTACACACACAATATGCTGTTTATCAATGTTTGAAGCATCAGTGGCTCGGAATAATGTAAAAATTGGGACAACTTAACCCTTTGAAAAGGGTTACATTTGAACTTACCAGTGACTAAGATGGAAGGTAAATATGTGCCTTTTTAACCAAATATAGTGTAAGTATGTCTGTTGTATGTGTATTTATCCAATGTTTTCTTTGGAAGAAATATAATTGTGCAGAGGTAAAACCAACTCCTATTTTTTTATCTGATATGCTGATATTCTCTGTATTTTAAAACAAAGCAAAATAAAATATTCAAGGGACTGCAAATAGTGCTTCAATGAAGGCAAATATTGATATAGATAAAAAAAAGACTTTAAATCTGTTTCAACTTAGAAAGTTACAGCTGGGAACGTGGAAGATTTGTCAAAGAGTCTTTTTTTTTAGGGGGAGGGGTTAAAAGTGAAAGCTCTACATATGTCGTGCTGAAGTTAAAGGTTATGTCCTTCCCTTTCATATTTGCATTTTATGAATGTAGATTGTGGACAGTGGTTTTTAAAACACCGCCATCTATTGGCTGGTGCTGACATTACATTAACGTTCTACGTTAACGTAAAAACGCCGCTGCTGCGGTGAAGCCCCTCCCCTCGTCAACAACTGGATTCCAGCTATCCGTGTTTTCGACAGCTAGCAAGGCTAGCCTGCTAACGATGAGTTTGACCGTAAATATGTAGCATACTCCTCGCTATACTTCTATCTGTCTATTTTTATCTAAGACGGACTACGTTTACCACCTTTCTCGTCCATGCGACCTTACTGGACCAGCGACTGCGGAGAGACTCACTGGCGTACCGTCCTTTAGCCTTCCCCGAAACAAGATTAGCGGCTATCGCTAGCTGGCTCGCTGACAGCTGCTCCGTTTAGCTCAGTTAGCTCCGTTCCTCTAACAGCGACGCAGCAGAGATTTATCATATAAAGCAATGACCCGTCTCTGACATCGGTGAGTCATTGTAATGATATCAGTTTTACGTTATCTTCCAAGCTAACAGTGTTAAATATCGGCTTGTTTGTAGCCGCGGCTACAGAGCCACGCCTGGTCCATTTAAATCCCTGCACCGCAACTTATTTCGACTACAACGTTCACACTGTCGTTACAGTTGATTCAGAATCTCTACTGTTTATGGTCCACAGAAAACACTGAGGCCCAGTTGGTTGTCACTTTGGAGTTATCCGAAGGCTTTTTCTGGCAAAGTGGGTCTCGGTTGACTGCATTGAAGACCCGCCTGTCCGTTCTCGTTGCTTTGGTTTTACCAGAGCTGCCAACATGATGCCGGTGAGTACATACATTACTGCTGATTTGTTTGCTTGATTGATCACTATTGTCAAGATTTTTTGCAAATCTTACCAAAAAAGTTTAAAGCATTTTACATAATTGACATTTTGGGATAAATTTCCTTCTATTTGCATGTTTCGACCTTAATCAGTATGTTATAAAAAGAAAAATACTGAATTATTAAAAAAAATCAATTGCAGTTTGAACAAATTTTCATGTAAAGCAGATGTATAAAAAAAATATATTTTTTTAATCCATGTTTGACTGTTGGATTTAATTTTAAGGAAAAATAAACTTTGGTAGGATAGAGAAACTAAAGTTGTTCAACTAATTTAAAATTAAAATTGAACTTTCCCCCCCATAAGAGTGACACACAGTGGATTCTCCTCTGAAATGCATAACATTCTGCTAGTTGAATAATTTCAGTTAAATTTATCGTCGCATTTTAAAATCAACGTATCCATCTTAAATTTACTGAGAGAAAATCCTTTTGCTTATATAATATGGCCTTTTTAGAGCAGAGCATAACGTAAAACAGTCAAATATCAAATACTGTTTTAATTTTAAATGGTGAGCTTTTATCAGAATTTTATCAAAATATAATATTAATATATATATATATATATATATATATATATATATATATATATATATATATATATATATATTTCAAATTTTTAGTGCTTTGTTAGTTAGTTATTTAACTCACTATTCTCTTTCTGATATTGCCAGTTAACCTATTAATAGAAAAAAGTATATGGTGTTATCAAAGCAAGAGGTGATTTGTGGTTGTTTTATTTTCCAAAAGTTGCAGAGGAGAACATCAATGTGGTTTCCAGAGCTCTAGGTGGGATGAGGTAGTCAATATTTGCTTTACTCATGACCTCCTGAGTTCTGAGTGCCACCACAGGCTTGGTGAACAGTTGCATCCAATGAGAACGACCCGATATAGAGTCAGTGAGTTTGTGAAGCAGAGAGGGACTCGGTTCTCTCTCAGCCAATGAGGCATTAGTAGATCTAGGGCTGTATGTCTGCATCAACTGTTGTTATGGTGAGGGGGGGTTTCTGAGCTGAGTGGATTGTCAACAGGCATAAATCTCACACATTGGAGCTGGGTAGAGCGTGACTTAGAGGAAAAAGTTAATGCTGTTTTATTCTCACTCTCCCACCTTTTTAAATTCACAATTTAAATGTAACAGCCGCTGAGCCACCACAGTGATGTTTGGAAGGGCTTTTCATCCAGTAACATATTTAATTTACTATGCAGTATTCCTGTTTATTATTATTGCCAACCCATTACGTGTAGATGGAGCAAGTGAGGTATTGGTTTATTTAACAACTAATGCCTGTTTGATTCTGCCCTTTTTTATTGGTTGAATAATTTAAATGATTAATAATGCTTTCTAAATGCTGCACTGATGGACATCAGTCAGCCTGTACTCAGAAACGGTCAATTTTAAGGCAAGGATAAGACGTTGTTGGACTTTGACACCTTGTCCTCTTTAACCGAGGCTTTTATTTGATTCTATTTAAGGACCATGGCAAATATACTTCATATTCTGAATGGGGAAATATTAAGAGTTGCTGCATTTTTCAAGCACACCTGCTCAGATGCTTCTAAACAATTTCCCAATTAACCAAGCAAATGTATATCAGCTCATTTAGAGCTTAAAGGTCTCCTTGCAACAGATTAAACAGAAAGAAAACATGTCTAATCATGTGTTGCTTTTTATTCAGTTGCGTTTTGTGTATTTACAAATGGAGCATTGTGTTGTCTTCCATGTCAAATAACACTTTAACTTAAGCACACCCAGTTTTTCATACATTTTCTATGATAGCAGCCTTTTAAAACTCTTTGGTTTAATGACAAGCAGCATTTACCTTAAGAAATGGTCATCAGTCATTTGTAGCATAAAATCAGATCTATTCAGTTTAAATGTATGTCATTGTCCTGCTTGTGAAGAATCTTGGTCAGCAAACAGTCATGCAGGCACTGCAGTTATTTTTCTGCCTCACACGATATTGACTGGGCTCTGAATCATTCCCACACTACTTATCCTCGATGGTGTCATAATGACCTGTGTTTACATGATGGTTACTCATTCCTATGCCTCTGTATTTTGCTACAGTAATGGATGCTTTTTGTGACTTTCCAACTGCTAAAAAAAGTATGTGGTTTGTTTGTTTTTCCACTCTTATTTGAACCTGCCAAAGCACTTGAATCAAATGGCTTAAGAATATATCCATCAGTCCATAATGTTCTCATATTGATCTTGTTGTTTTGATATTCTTAATTTGGCTTCGGTGTATATAGTTCTTACTTTGGTTTTTAATTTTCAAGATAACTATAATTGATAATTGATAACTATCAATTGAGGGGGGTAGCCATTCAAAATTCTATTCAATTTAGTTTATTTATATAGCACCAATTCACAACATCTAAAAAAGAAAAGGTTTTTATTTTCTCTTTTTTTTTTAATAGTTTGAAGAAAGCCTTTCTTTCTTTCTTTTGGACCTTCTGGCAGAACCATAAGTCTTAGTCTGAACTACTGATGTTTCATTAAGGACCAGAATGGTAGCTGTTTCTCCACGGACATGTTTGTCTAGTCTAGTTTTAAGGTTTTGTGATTGAATCTTTATAATATCTTACTATTCTATCTTAATTTTGAACTGGACAAGTTCTATTTTCCACCAGCTGTTGCCGCTGCAACCAAACAGCTTTTCCTGCTTTCATCCTAGCACAAACAATTTCTCATTCAAGCTGAATTCTGGTGGTATTTGTGCATTTGCAAACACGCTTGAATTTGTCTTATCCCACTTTAACCATTCAGGACCAACCCAAAATGGGTGACATAATCCACTTGCAGTTTTATGATATGAGGTGGGACATTTAGCGGTGAAGAAACCAAGTTTATCGAGCCCACAGCCAAACCAAAACAAACATGGCATCCCAGGAGTACGTACGTGTAGCTGTCGCTATCAAATCTGTTTGGTCAAAATTTGTGTTTTAATCTTTGAGAGAGGAACATAAGGTTCTGCTGATTGTCCCTTCTAAATCGGAAAATATTTTGATCGGAACCTAGCTTGCCAGGTTATGGTAGCAAGACTACAAAATTAAAGCAAGCTGGGAGATTATTAAAATTAGGGTGTTTCTTCTTTTTAAGTTGACCTCCATGCCAAACCCTTTGAGACCCTTAACAAAGTCATTATGAATTCTATATGGATGCAAAGCTTTGCTGCACTCAATTCTGTAATTGATGTAGATTAGGCTTTGAGTGCAGGTTTTGTTGGTATGTTAAGATATTATTGGTTCCTGCGGTACTACAGGTGAAGCTCTTTTTTTTTTCTGTGTGGCATCTGTCATTTGCTAAAAAGTGATGGTTTTCCAAAAACTCATCTAGAGTGGCTACTGTCCAATAGCTGCAATGTCTCCTATGGGCAAGTATGCCAATTGTTTCCCTATGTGTGCGCTGCTATTCAACCAATATTATTTGGTTCTATCCATTTTAATTTTCCGAAACCTAACTGAAGATAGACCATTAGATAGGCCAGTCCAAGTGTTTAGCAGGTAAGTATAAAGCATATAAGAGTCAAGTCAAGAGCTCCAAAACAGGGTTAGTATTTCAGTTAATGGAAACAATGAAATGATGCTTGGGGATTTATTATTTTTTTTATACTGATTTATGTGATGCATATTTAAAACTGATTGGTAATGTATGCAGAGTAAAACCTGTTTATAGAATAGACTAACACTGTGGTGTGACTTACCTAAACATTTAATAGATCCTAGGCTTTTTTTATTGGCTTGTTTATCCTTTCCACAATTGTTATTCGTATTTGAGTTATTTTTATACATCTTTAACATCAACCCAAATTAGTAACATTTGATGACATTCTTCAGCATTATATTTTGATCATCTGAAGATTTTCAGTAATTCGTCAGGTTTTCCTTTTTATTTTTTACTTTTAGGTTGTAAAAGGCTGCTATACGTGTTCAGCCATAAAAGGCTGATCCCGTTCCATTAATGCCTGATGCCACAGCTGCACTCTAAGTAGCTACCAGCAGCATATCCCAGCCACACTTTCCTGTCAGAAACTCTTGTCATTTTCCTCCTCTCTTGTTCATTCTCTCTTTCTTACTGCTAGTTATTCACTTACTCCCTCTCCCCCATCCATCCATCTATCCATCCCTCCCTCCCTCACAGACCTGCACATCCAGCTCTGTTTTTTCTCTTCCTTCCAAGTCTCCTCTGCAGCATTTCCTAATGCACGCACCGCTGTCAGCTTTAGAGGTCTGCTCGCGATGGCATAACGATTAAGTCTCACGACTGCAAAAAGCAGCAGCGCCATGATGAAGAGGTTTGTGAATATAATGCTGCGTGGCCTTGTTAGCCTCTCCAAGGAGAGCCCCATTTGGGCAAAGGGACAGCAGCCGCTACCAAAAAAGAAGATCAAGAGGAAACGGAGGGCGGCGAAGAGAAACAAGAGTATTGGCCGTCGCAACTTAGTGAGGGCGGTTGGTATTTCTCCCATGGTCCTTCACCGGGGTCCTGGGCTTCTGTTATCCTTTACCTGATTTTCAATTATTTCTTTGTCACTTGTAATTGAGTTAATTAATCTTGAAGACATTTTTGGTTTTGATGAATATTTGTATGTCTGTTTTCTGGCAGAAAATTATTATGTCATGAATTGTAGAATAATTACAATGCTATTACTCTAGAAATTGTAAAAGATGTGAACAAAGAGTAATGCACAGCATTCCCTCTCAAACTGAGGTTATACAATTATTGCTTAATTTGTTTATTTGAGCTTCTGGACTTATCTGAAAGTATTCTCCAACAGAAAAAAAAACTTTTTTTAATAATAAAATTGCAGTATAGTGTTTTTTTTTCTTTTTACTATTGTCATTAATCTTATTATATTTTTACCTTTAATGTTTAACTTGTCTGTAAAAATGTAAAACTTGTCTGAGGTTAGCTCAGTTGGAAGCTACATCAAATTCGATTCTGTTCTATTGGAATTGTAAAGACAAGCCTAAAAAATATATATGTTTGCATGTGCCTATGGGCTTCTGGTTGTTTTAGTCAGGCTTCAAAGAACAAATGATCACACTGGTTTATTTAGGCCGCTGCTGAAAATGTCAATGAATCGGATAGCTGCATCATTGAAATTGAAATTCTGAGTCACTTTGTCTCTGAAAATCTCCTGGATACAGTTAAAGGTAGCTCAGTGACTTGAATGTAAATAACATACAACAGTGCTGCTGAGCTTAACTTGATTCTGAAATGTTAATCTGAATAATTGCAAAAATTGAGTTTGTTCAGATTATTGTTTCAGAATTATTTTATAAAACTGGAAATTAAACCTGTCAAATTTAACATAGAGGCAGTCTTTCATCTTAATTGCTGTGTTACCTGTAATACTAATTCAAAAAACATGTTACTACAGCAGCAAGAAAACACACGGGCCTAAAGAATAATTAAGCTTATATCATTTGTGCGTATTTGGTCTTTGAGCAAATAAATCACCTTTTATTCCTCTAAATTCCAAGGTTATTGACTGTTTAAATAAATCAAGAAAAGAAAAAAATTGTGGATTTTATTATCATATCTTGCTTAAATTAGACCAAATAGAAAAAGGATGCATGCCAAAATATAAGATCATGATTAGTGCTATTTGGTTGTAAACAGTAATAAATGCCTATTAATGGTTTGATTACAAACTTAAAATAATTACCTCTGAGGTAATTATTTGGAAGCTATTTATGATGGAAATAAAAAAAAAATGATTAAACTAAAATTGAATGAAAAATATTAATCACGCCCCTACTCTCATGATTTCTCTCATTTAAATTGGTTCACTTCATTACAATTGCCTATCCATACCCTAAGACCGCCTATCGATCACACATCATACAGACTCGTTTCTCTCCATCTTTATGGTTTTGTAAATGATGGGAACTTCTATCGCGGATATGTATTTTGTCTCAGCCAATGAAAGGCTTGAGCAGCGGTGATGACGAAAGTGAGTGGGAGGAATTTCCTCTCCTTTGGATTTCCTGATACTTTTTAGAATAATAGGAGGTCCATAATTACCTGTTGTGTGGCTTGACTTTCAGGTATGGGCAGAAACCTGTGGCATTAGTAGCTAAAAGGAATTCCCTCTGACTGAATCTCTATTCATGTTATTTGAAAAGAAATGCATTTGTTTAGACAGGGCTGTACAATGGTGCAGTTGTAGCTCTGTTGCCTTGCAGCAAGTGTTTGCATGTTCTCCTCTGACATACTTTGGCTCTCTCTGGGTACTCTCTGGAGTTTCCACATTTATGTTTTTTTTTATTGTAAGAATATTTTGGTTTATGTATTCATGGTTATATTTGAACACTATGCTTATCTTTCTATTGAACTATTTTTGGAGGTTCAATTCTCACTTTAGCTTCTTTGTAGCCCTTAACTAAATGTTTCTATTTTTATGGGAATGTTTTCAATGAATCATCTTTATAGAGACAGGCAGAAACATTATTATGCGTTAGCTACCAGCCTAAAGTTCAACATTATATCAGGCCCTAATCTATGTAAACAGAAAAGTGGCAGGCAGAGGCTTGCGTCTATCAGCAGCTCAAACTATCATTCATGGATGGTCTGCTACATAATCTAGCGTCAGCATAGTGAGGTTTCAAACACATCATCAGACAATAACAGCTTCTGTGACTGTTGGCTACATTATGGATTTGTGTTTTCTGCATTTTGTCCGCTGGGTTATTTGTCACTCATTCGGGCCGCTTCTGTATATCTTTCAGATGATATTGACAGTGTACCTCAGCGACGGGGAGCAGGCCGCAGCTGAGGTTCCCATCACCCCTGAGACCACATGTCGTGACGTTGTGGAGTTCTGCAAAGAACCTGGCGAGAGCGGCTGCCACCTGGCTGAGGTCTGGAGAGGCAACGGTAAGATCAGTTGAGGCCGTGCTACTTTTAATTAGTGCATGAAAATGATAACCTGCATCCTATTTTTGCTGAGTGTGACAATTTTCTCTCATGCTCAGTAATTTTGAGTTTTTACGGCACTAGTGGCTTGTTTTTCTGACAGTAGGCTGACAGGAAAGGGGATTTAAGAGAGGGGGAGAGGCATGCGGGAAAGCACCACAGGTCGAATTTGAACCTGGGTTGGCCACGTCTGGGACTAAGGCCTCCGTACATGGGTCGCGCACGCTAACCAGTGCTCCACCTGCACGCCCATGCTCAGCAATATAATATAGCTTTATTTCTATTCAAGAAAACATACCAGATATTAATATGGAGTTAGGCTAAGTTATGCATGCATTACCTTAGTGAAGTCGACAGCATGAAACAGGAGAATATTTGTTTTAGGAAAAATTGTTTTAAGTTCAGTCATTAGGGCTTTCACAACCATACCAGCACACCGTGTTTGGTCAGAGTGCCGTCTTTATGTCTTCATCCAAACAAAAAGTGGAAATATCCAGCGACTAAACAAAAAAATCCTTTTACACACTTTAACCTGTAATGTTAAGATCCATAATAATTTAGTAGTGATGCAGTATTGATTTCATGTTGCTTCATTAAAATGACGCAGTAGGACCTTCCAGCAGGTTCCGAGTTATTATGAATCAAACAGGCTTATTTTTTTTAATATAAATATCCTATATTTAGTGGCTTCTAGTAGTACTTTGATTTATAGCCAGTAAAAACCTATCCCTGTGCGCTGAACCTCAGAGGGAGAACCCTTTTGGAGCTAGCTCAGCATTCTGTAATGGAGATGGATGGAAACGATGATTGTTCCTGAACATCTAGTCTGGAATTGGTTTTTGTGGTTGAACCGTCAGCCAGTTCAGCTCAGGAGAAGGTATTGATGCTGAGGAATATGGTGGCATCACATCTTCCAGGTCAGAAACATCCAGATCGGACCTCTAGCCTACAGAGCCTTCGAGCCAGAGGGTGACGGCTAACGTGACCGCAGCAGCAACATTGGAAACACGGCTTACTATGCCTATGTTACAGATTATATAACCAGTTATTGATTTATGAAACTCTTAAATTAGTATATATTATTATTTTGAAATAAATCCTCCACCACTGGTATAAGAAATCATCTGCTATATCTTAAAAGTATAGCTAACAACTCTGGCGTCCATTACTGCCAGGGTTGTCAGATCTGCTTGTTTCCAGCCCAAAAATGATGTGAGATGACCCCATCCCCAACCCCCCTCCTCCACCTCAGTTTAAAAAACAAAATCCTTAATTAATTCCTCTTAACCTTCTGTTTAAACCACAGACCTATAAAACACCTAATAAAGAACATAGAGCCACGTTATTACCATGAAGTTAGCCTCTGACTGCGTTACTACAGATGCTAATAACAATTAGCTTTAATGTCATCGTCTTGGAAAGCAACAATCTATGATTTAAGCTCCACATTAGCCTATGGTTTATTTCTGAATATTTTTTTTTTTTATTTCTCTCAGCTTAACCTCTTTGCTTGTATGTGCAACTGGAAGTTAGAGTCCTGGGAGTGGCGTTAGCAGGTTCTTAAAAACAATCCATCTGTGTCTGGCTCATAGACCAGCTAATTTTCTCTCTCCTCCCATGGGAGAAAGCCGTAGGTGGGCTGTTAGCAGCTGCTTGGTTGTTCACTGAACAACCAAGTGACCCTTTCAATGGGGGAACATTCTCAAAATGTTCCAAGCACAGAAAAGACGCTCCACTGATTCTGACCTGTTTCACCCACACTGAAAGCAGCTAAGTTGACGCCGTCCTTAAGGGGTTGAAACAAAAAGCTGTGGCATAATTTGAAGGCATAGCTGCATCTTAATCCGGGATAACTTCACCAGGTGTCCATAACAAAACCACTGTTCCAGCTCTCAGTCGTTCTACTTTATACGTTCCTCCCGTTTTCTCCCTCAGTCACTGAGCAGCACTAGAGTCGAATGGCAGAGATGAAAACTATTTTATGCAGGCGGCCTTGAAATTATTTCATTGATCGTCTGTGTTGACGTTTTGGTACACAAAAAGTACCACAAACAATGTCAATATCAAGTCATGAACACAACCTACAACCATGCTGACTGAGTAAATCCATAACATTTTCTGCTTTCCAGAGCGAGCAATCCCATTTGAGCACATGATGTATGAACATCTACAGAAGTGGGGGCCTCGAAAACAAGAAGTCAAATTCTTTCTCCGCCATGAAGATTCTCCCACTGAGAGCAGTGATCAAGGTGTGTACTGTCTGGCTCTTTCATTTCTATCCAGACCCTAAGGGGGTTTCTTTATAAGTAGGGGAAATTCCTGACTCTAACTTTGCTTTTTGTGATGGACGCCTCTGTCAATAGAAGGTTACTGGAATGTTCTGGGTCTGTTTTATGTGTTTAGCTGTTTTCTGTTGTTGAACATCAAAATCATTATGCTGATAAATATCATAAGCCCTGAGAAAGGACAGTTGTGTTCTGGTTCAGCTGCTTTTTGTAATATCTGACAGCCAGAATGTCTCTGGGTGTTTTCGTTAAAGCCAGTTACCGACAGCCTGCTTCTAAGCATTATAATTTGTAAACCAATGACATTATTCTATGAGAAAACTTTTATTATTTATGAAACATGTCAAAATAATGTTTGTCTGTTTAAAGTTTTAATGATTTTTATCTGTATTTATAACTTATATGACTTGTTGTCTTGTGAATGAGTGGCTGGTGTTGCTACAAGCAATTAATTGGGATTTTTTTCTGTTACATTTATAATTTATAGGGAATTCAGATATTATCCTTTAATTATACATCATACATTTACACATTTTGTCACATTTGTTAATCTTAATTGTTTTTAAATTATTAAAATATAATGTTACATATCTAGCACATCATTTTTAGGATTGCAAAAGTTTTGACTCAAAATATAAATAAAGATGTTGAGGATGTTTTTACGAACTGTTAACAGGAGCAGTAAAACAGGTGAATAAATCACACATTCATCTCTGCTGACATTTTAATGCTTTTCCATATACAAATGTTTTACTGCATATAAGTTTCTCAGTAATTCTGTTCATCTGTTCCACATGTTGAGTATTATCTTGGCTGTTTTGTGTGGACTCATCCGTACACTTGTTTGTGTTTTTACACTTGTGTTTTTGTTTTGTAATGGTCGCCGTCAATTATTTGTTTTGCAGGGAGTCAGCAGTCTCAGGATCAAACCACTCGTAGAGGTGGAAACACTGGAGAGAAGCACAATGAGAATGGGGTGAGAAGTTTTTCACGTCCTCTTTAGTTTGCCATGACTATTTGTTCTGTTTCTGGAAGTGTTTATCCTCAGAAACGGGGCCAATTTTTACAGTATTTCCATAACTTTTCATGCAATTCTGAAGTCTTTCCCGATACTTATAATCTACCCTTCCTCTCAAAAGTAAAGCAAGAGTTGTAGTGGTTGTACGATTCTGCTGAAAATTCTTTGCATCCTGGTGTTCATGTTTGGCCCCTCTACTTTAGGATGTATGCACTTTAATAAGAGCTCCCTCTGGCATCACTATCTTTTTATTTTTTTTCCTGTCTGACCATCTGTCCCAGTTTTTGCAGTCGAGCAAATGTAACTAATTGGACCTTTAGGGTTAAGACAAGAAGCGAGGGCAGCTAGTGAGATGAGAGAATTGCATTTCTTTAGTTTGGGACAAGAGCAGCCAGGAGCTATAACCTTTTTACTAGTCCTTGTCTATGAGGGAGAAATACCTGCAGTATGAATGGCAAGTAATTTGATACCAAATACTTTTCCCTTAATGTTCTTTCATCATTTTACAGATATTTATAATGCTTGATGCTTTTAACGGTAAAAAAAAAATGCCCATCTTTCAATAGAGCTGTATAAGAAATTATAATGCAGCATACACAATTGCAAATGATCCTAGATTTAGCAGAGCAGATGGGATGCTTTCCCAGACTGCATGCTACCTTTTTAAAGCTGTAGTTTTAGTTTTCACTGTTTTTATACAAGGTAAGCTGCTGAATGTTCATTTGTGTCTGTTAAGAAAACATGACCCCTCATGTAAAGACAATTGAAATAACCTGTTTGATAATAGAAATTGTACTTACTTTTTGTAACTAATCAGGATAATTGAAGGTAGTTTGTAGGATAACATTTGGTATGGTGATATAGCAGAAATGTTTAAAGTGACGGGGAAAAATACATTTTAATTCATATTCCAAGCCCTCTCTTTTCTACTCATTATGGTGAACTTGGTACACATACGTTTCTTTTTATTTTCAGCAATTTGTTTGAGAAGTGCTGAGGCATGGATAGCACCGTTACACTACCAACACCAAACATTGTTTACAAAAAAAAACCTATGAATTCATATTGGTGAACTGAACAGAATTTGCATGGATGGTTGTTTGCAAGCCCCCTTCGACTGTCGGGGCTCATCTATGTCACAGTTCCTTCCCTGTGTCAGATCCCAGGATTTTACTCGCAGTCTTCCGGATGATAGAATTGTCCCCATTAGGACCGTTTCTTTGGCTTCCTCAGCATTTCCACAGACTGTTGCTTTGTGAAGGAGTCTGTTTGCCAAGCAGCACTGATCATTCAGTGAGGGAGGCTGCTTCTTTGAACAGATTGGCATCGAGGGAATAATTACATATATTTGAATCATGCATCTTGCAAGCCCTGTCTTCTACAAAACACTATGGACTGTTTACTGCTTAATTCTTAATATTTTTTAGATACTTTACAAAAACCTGGATAATCATTAATATTAGTTTTTTTAACCTCTTAATATCCACCTAATTTTGGAAAATTCTCACCTGTTTTGCATACCCAAATTTTTTTATTCTCGAAAATAATAGGTCGTTTTTGAACAGCAGTTATTAAGAAATGCTTGCTTCTTATAGCTGCTTTGTCATGCTACATTTTGACATGCTGATATTTATTGTGTTAATTGTGCTTTGGTGCTCGCTGTGTCCATAAAATGAACTTGGTGGTTGAATTGTGGAGAACATATATATTGGTAAACATTTTACCTGTGTAATTTTCATACATTCTGAGTTATTTGTAAACTCTTTAAATCGTTTTGAGAGGTTAAGCTGTAACATAAATCCTTATTTTTTGGCATCTATACAGCTTTAATTAGTTGGATATTTATATCTTGATGCAGTTTGCAGATGGGTTATCTTTGCTAGCATAATCTAGTGGTTTAAATGTGTGAGTTTCCTTCTCCTGCTTGGATAAAATGTCATTGATGCATCTTTGCCTGAGTAGGTTGGAGCAGAGCTTCCTTTCTCTTCATTCCTCTTCTAGACATCCTTTCATGTGAATGCTTTGATAAATGCCACATCAGGACAGGCAGCCTGAATTGGCCTGGCGACTCTGCAGAGACATTGTCTGAGCTTAATGTTGCTGCTTCCCTGCACAATACTTAATGGAACGGGAAAGGGAGAAAAACAAAAAAAAGACAGCCTGAAAAGGAATCCGTTTTTGCTGTTTTAAAGAAATAAGTCACATAACTTTTATTTTTCTGTTGGAACTTATTTGCTAGCTGTGTCTATACAAGTTTATCATTTCTTTATCTGAAATCATAAACAATAGTCCTCACCTTAGTCTCTCTACCAGAAAAGTTTCCAGTTTCTGGCCCACTATTCCACATTTAAAGGATGTCACCTTCACATGTCAGTGTCACCATCTACTTTCTCTGTAAAACCGAGCTGAAGGCAAAGTCTGTGAGATTTTCAAGCACGTCAGTATGGAGTTCACTCTCTCACCCAAAGGTAGCCTTCATTTGAGGAGGATGCTTAGATGTTTGTCTTGGAGGAAAACAGAGTTGAAAGCATCTCCTTTTCCTCTAAAGACTCCCAGGTAGTTTGTTGGTACCATTTTCTGTGGATAAGGAGAACCGTGTGGGATGACACCTGTAGAAATGAAAGCATGTTTCATTAAAATTTCAGCAAGTGGATGTTGTTACCTGAAGGTTTTATGGGGAGAGGTTGTGTTTAAATTGCAAACGCTACGTGTTTTTTATTTGACCCCTTTTAATCTTGCTGAATTTGTTACAGAAATGAGAAAAGGAGGGAAAATTACATAAAAAATTAAAAACAAAAGCGTAAAAAATATGTAATATCTAAAATGTGAAATATTTTATGCAGTGAAAAATCATTAATAGTTTGGCAGAATTTTTTTATGTCAGGCTCTAGATTTGTTCTACTGTAAAATCAGCTTCATGTGAGCCATCATTACCCGCTTATGTCTTGGATATGTTTGTGTCAGGAATGCTGCCTGTTCTGAGATAAGGGACGCTAAATTTGGAGGTGGTCTGTTAACTGCACTGAGGCGAGGAAGCAAAGCAGAGGGGAATTTCTCCAGTAGTTAAAATGACTATAAAAGATCCTACCAATTGGCAGCTTATAAAATATGACGCAAAGCACTGATTAAGTTGAGTGTAAGTAGTGTTTACAGCATTGACCTTGGTGTGAAATATTCATTGATTCCAGCCTGATGGTTAAAGGAAAGTTTTAACCATAACAGTTTTTAAATGAGTGTGTAGGATTTGCTCTATATTATAGCATATGCAACTTAAGTAAAATCTGTTTTACATGAAAGTTGTTGGTCCACTATGCATCAGATCCAATTGGTAAAAAAATGTTGGTAATACTCCCATGCAAACAGTGCGAGGATTTACCCGCTTCCCGCTAACTAAGGTAATCCAGTGTGGCTGATTTTTGGACAGGCATATAATAAAGAACTTTCCTTAAAAATAACCAATTAATCTGCTGAAGACATCCAGCGCTTTCACGCCAGAGTTTGTTTTGTGGAGCACATAATGCCGAGGTAAATCCAGCCCAGAATCTGGAAACAGATCCTCTGGCATCGTTACAGCTACCAGTCTTTACACCCCTAATGGATGCAGAGACTGAACCCACTCCATAGTTTGTTTGCTGGTTAATATCTTTCCTTCCCAGTCTACCAAAAGCAAGAAGTGAGAATGTGGTCTAAAAGCAGATCGTTAGGGTAGGGCTGTGTTCGATTTCGGTGACTGCCTCCTCCGAAGGATCCGACCTACCTGGACTGGTTCCTTTGAAGGCTGCCAAAATAAGGAGGCCAGAACAGTTTGGCTGTAGATTCAGGTCCAGCCTTTTTCGTGATTTCACCGCCCCACACACGGTGTACGCTCTGTCGCCTAGCAACCGTAACAGTTTAGATTATGTCCCAACATCTGCTTTGACCCCTAATCCCTCAATCACTATAAAGAGTGAGGACTATATGGTGGATTTTATGGTGAACTCGGTTAACTGACTATGGGGACAGATGATCACTACTTTTCGCTTCCTGTTGATCAAGTGACTCCGCCTCCCCGCACTGTGCCTGTGCCAACAAATCCCATAATGCTTTGCGAGGAGAACTCTCCAGACAAACAATTCCGGAATATATCTGCTCGTCTCAGGACCATGGATAATCAATTCTTTTCAAGGTGCATTGTGGGAAATTTTGAGTCTACTGCTTTTTTCATCCACTAGATGTTCGGACACTCATCTAAAATGGTATACTATATAGTGCTAAGTAAAGTGATTACATTCCCACATTCGGACACAGCCTTAGTCATAGAGCAGGCAAAGAATGGATGCCGAACTTCTTACTACTGTTTTCTGTCATCATTTCTTTGTTGAGGACCTCAGCAACCGTTATTGCAGATATCAGAATTATAGTCCCCACACTGCACAGATATTGTGTGCTTAAATGTCAGCCAAACCCATTTGCACAGGGAAAGATAAAACCTTTCAATAAACCAAACATTATCCGCAATATATATGACTCACTGACCATTTAGAACAAATATTTTCATTAATTTGCAACAAAATTATTCACATGCTTGTATTATATCAAACTGCACTTACAATAACAACCACTGTTCATCGCCATTTCCCTTCTCCCCCTGAGCTCGGGGCAGTCGACTTGCATTCGCAATAAATCACCGGATTCCTAAGGCTATGAAGGATACACCAGGTCTGTCCTTCCAATCGGGCAAAAAGAAGACTGCATTTGTCTGCCGCATAACGAGGAGTCTTTGAAACGGGTAACGCTATGACATAAAACGGGCAATGAATCTGGCCTTCGCGGGACGCAGCTGCCCAATTTGAACAGAGCATTGGAAAAGAGGAAGAAAAATCAAATAAAAGCATGAATCCATAAAGAGTTTGAAAATGTATTGTCGGGTAACGCTGAGAAGGGAAGCAGCGAAGAGACACATCTACGTTTGAACTCCGAAGTATCAAATGTTTTTCTAAGCGATCATAAAATAAAGTATAAAGGAGCATTGCTGCCCCTTGAAAATAATGTTTAAACTGCATGATCGTTCTGCTCTAACATCTCTGTTGGAAGGCAAACTGCACCAATTAAAAGTGTAAATGTTCTCACTTAAGCTGATCCTTAAACTAAAGCACCGGCTCGCTGTGGAGCTGGAGACGACGTATTTGGAAAAAAGACATGGCTGAGCAAACGTGGCTACTATGGCCTGTCAATTTTACAGACAGGATTGCATTTCACTCATTGCATCCCTGCCATGCTGCTGTGTTTACATCTTAGAGGAAAAAGAAAAATACTTGTTTGCTCATGCGCGCTGAGCGATTTACCACGACGGTCACGATTCCTGATCGGGAGGTGGTCGTGAGATGCTGATCGCCCCTTGTAACGCCCTGTACACTGCACGACGAATGATCAGGCTGAAAGTCGGCCCAATCGAAAGATTCTCACACGACTGGAAAATCGCCCCCAAAATCGCACAGTGTACGCCTGGCTTAAGGCAGGAGTGGGAATACTCCCTCTGTGTGGTTGCTTTCTGCTGTCTGTCTGCAGTCCTCTACTTCATGGAATCTGATTATAAAGCTTATGCCACTAATTGGCACACTGCCCACTAGGCTTGTCCCGATCCGATCCACGTATCGGATCGGGACGCCGATATTGGCAAAAAAATGCGTATCGGCAAAGCATGTAAAATGCCGATCCAGACTGCCGATCCAGTTTTTTTTTTTAAATCCGGTCCGTATTTTCCAGTTTCGCAGATTGAAACGATCCATTCCACTATTTTGCGCCAGTATTCCCCTGTTTTGCATTTTTATTAAAACTTACAGTAATACTTGCACCTTTAACTGTTTACGGTTTTACTGTTCACTGTGCAATTTCAGATTGCTATTCATAATTTTGTCCAGTTTGTGTTTATCTCTTAATAAACAGATAAGTTTGTTGTTACCAATCATTGTGTTTCATTCAATCTCACCTAATTTAGCTGGCTAGATGTTATCAAGAGTACTAAAACCCTTTTCAACATGAGTCTTACAACTAAGGCTAAATACTTTAACTTAAACTTAAATACATGCTCGGATAGGCTGGTATCGCCCAGTATCGGTATCGGATCGGAAGTCCAAAAACAATATCGGTATCGGATCGGAAGTGCAAAAACCTGGATCGGGACATCTCTACTGCCCACTGAGTTTAAACTCATCTAATGTTCTCTCATTCTAAGAAGAGATTCTTTTCAGCAAATTTCAACCTAAAAAACTGCAGATATGTTCAAAAAAATTCACAAATGAAAACTTCTTTTTGTTTTACTCTGGCTATTATTCCCTTATATAATGTTTTTATCTTATGTAACTCGCAATACCAAATGTATTATTGTGCACTTAGCTGCTGATACATGTGTTGTTGACGTGCAGATGTATTTACCTGAGTGGTGCCTTTAGGATATGTGACACAGTGTCAGTCGCGGCTTTCAGCTCCTACTGCTTTTTGCTTAGAGCCGTTCAACCTAATGTTGTGGCAGAACAAAAAGCCGTATGTGAGCTAAGGTAAATCATGCTGCTCATCGAAGCCCGTGGGAAGAAACTAAATCTCAGGTCATGACCTTTTCTGAATGGGTTAGCTTTTAGAGATGGGAATATAAGCTTTAATATTTAAGCCTATTTTTATATTATTTTGGTTTTAAAACTCAACAGCAGCTTTGTGACCCATTCGTAACCTCTGTGCTTGTCAACACTGAGATCACTATGTACCATTTTTATGGTCTTGACCTGTGTGTGTGTGTTTGTAGGTGGGGAATCAGCGGGTGGAGCTCACGCTGTCAGAGCTGCAGGAGATGGCCACACGACAGCAGCAGCAAATCGAGGCTCAGCAGCAAATGCTTGTTGCAAAGGTAAAACTCATGTTTGTTGTTTGCTTTTTTATACATATGTATACTTTGTGTTTCCTGTATGATGTATTTGCTTGGGTTTTTTATTTCAGATGGATGAAAAGAGATTCTCTGAATTTTAATTAATTATACTTTGTTGTAAAAACCCACTTGAGGCAAAAAAAAAAAGGTTATTTTTCTGCACCACACCAATGCAATCTTTGAGGAGAAATATTAAACGTTTTCCCCCAAAGGCCTCCAAACTAGTTGTGGAGTCTCACTATGAAAAGATTAGCCAAATATTTACTTATTGAATAATGCTAATTTTAATCTCAGGCACGCAAATGGACCTTCCTTGTTTATTTATGCATTAACTATGCTTGGAAGTAGCAGTATTTCAAAAAAGGAAAATGACTTTAAATTAGCCAAACTGGCAGAAAATTCAACATTTGGTTTATTTTACTGATAAACTCCAGTAACGCAAAATTTTTAACCATAGCAGTAACTCTGACAATATAGTGAAATATGTGAAACACAATCAAAGTGCTTTTATTTAAAACTTTAGCCCCAAATAATTTATAATCCTAATTTTTAGCAGCATGTTTCTTCTGACCAGAACAAGTATTGATATTCAGCAATGCCTCTGCAAAGAGCCGGCTATGATGTTATTAGGAATCTGGAGATAAAGATTAGGGTGATGGCAACATAGAAAAGCCGGTAAGCTACTGTGCGAAAGGATTTAAATGATGTAATCCATGTTAATAACTTCCTTTTTTTAAAGTAGTGTAGAAAATTTTTTATTTTTTCAAATAATGTTTTAGATGCTGCTTTTTTTATTGTTTATCATTTGATTGATGTCTTTTTTATTTTCTGACACAGACACTTGTTTGGTAAATGGACATTTAATTGTAAATTGGCATTAAGTAGCATGAATTTTAACCTTAAATGTAACATATTAGCTCTCCGATTATTAATCGATTAATCGAAAAAATTAATGACAGAATAATCGATTTGCTAAATCGTTAGTTGCAGCCCTGATATGATGGAAAGAATCCATAAAAGTGTTTTAACACTTAATGTTTACCTGTGAAAGATCACCATGTTCATGGGGATTCTAACAACAATTTCATTAACTTGGACCCTCTTTAGTGTTTGATCAGGTCATTGACATTAAAATCTGTCTCTGTAATGGGAGAACTGGGCCTAGACCAATCTATACATTTTCATCACTCTTAAGTGTGTGTTTGCAGTTTTGATGATCAACCATGCAGTCGTCCCGCCGATAGCGTAGCAGTTTATTGGCTTTGCTGTGATGTGTCAAAAGTAGGCCCTACTCTAAGCCTTGCAGTCATTTGAAAACTCAGGCCTGTCATTTCCTATTTTAGGACCTGAACTGGAGCAATTCTCACTTGGGTAGAGATGAAGTCATCTGACCCTTCCTTCAGCCTCAGACGTTCCTGACACAATGAAACGTCTCGATTAATTCACGCTATTCTCCTGATTAGCCTTTTAAATCTTGTCTTCCTCAGAAAACTGTTTAAATTTATTGACATTCAAATGTAATTTTTTAAACATATTTTGATCTTTTTGATTGATTCTTTTTTTTTTTTTTGTCTTTGTCTTTGAATTTTTTGTCTTCTGCTGTTTTTTTTAAAGGAGCAACGTTTGCGGTACCTAAAGCAACAGGAGAGGCGTCAGCAACAGACTGTGTCGGAGAGCGAAAAGCTGCAGAGACTGAAGGAGCGCGTGGAGAGCCAGGAGGCAAAGCTCAAGAAAATCCGTGCCATGAGGGGCCAGGTGGACTACAGCAAGGTCATCAATGGAAACCTGTGTATGTAAAGACCTTCCTATTCCTGATAGCTTTATTTAGGTATGTTCTAATCAGGCTTTAATGGCTAATAAGCCTTTCCATTTAATAAATATATAAATGTGCTTGATTAAAACTACTCAATTTTAAGTATTTATGTTGGATCTTAAATGGACTAATAGGATTTTTGTTTTGACGTCCAGCGGCAGAGATCGAACAAGTCACCAGCTTGTTTCAAGAAAAGCAGGCTGAGTTACAGGCAGCGGTGCTGAGGGTGGAACAGCTCAGCGTGCAGCTGGAGGACCTGCGAAGAGGAAAGCTCAACGGCATACAGACCGGCTTGGGCGGCCAAGTCACGGGTGCAGCAGCCTTAGAGCTAAGAAAGCTTTACCAAGAGCTTCAGGTAATGCACTGCATGTCTCACTGTATTCAAGAGATTGACGTTGCTCCAGACTGTGATGTTGAGGAGGTTCTCTATTCCTTTAGATTCGAAACAAGTTGAACCAGGAGCAGAACAGCAAGCTGCAGCAGCAGAAGGAGCTTCTGAACAAACGCAACATGGAAGTGACGCTCATGGACAAGCGAATAAGCGAACTACGGGAACGTCTCTACAAGAAAAAAGCTGAGGCACGTCAAAAAGAGAATCTCCCTGTAAGATGAGGAACACCCAGCTTATCTCTGATTTCTGCCTTTTTATCCCTCTGGCATCATCGTGGGCATCTTTATTATCTATCTTTTATCTTTCTTTCCTAAATCAAAGCAATTTTGACTTGGATACTTTGTTCCCTAAAAAGTCTCTCATATATCAATGTTTTTAAAATGGCTTTTAAGTTGTGTAGCTGATATAGGAAAGAAAGTGGGTGGGGGGACAAGTATATAATTAGAGTTTCATAAAAACAGCAGCAACATCAAGTACAACAATAAGTTAATCCTCAAATATGTGGTTAATGATCTTGTCTTAGGAAATATTTGGGTTTTTTAAGGCATTTTTCTGTGATCTTTTTTTAAAAGTTGTAAATTACTGACATCTGAGGGTTAAAATACTTTTTAAATCTGATTTTAAAAAGTGAAACGACAACTCTAAAGGCTCCCCTAGATCCTCTAAAATGTGTGTATGTATGTGTATATATATATTTATATACATTCATTCTAATATTTGAAATGTCCCTGACGCTTCTGTTGCAGCTGAATCGAGCCAATGGTCCCCCCTCCCCCCAACCAGCCAGTGGGACTCTGGGTCGTGTTGCTGCCGTCGGGCCCTACATCCAGGTCCCCGTACCAAGCCGGCAGGATGGGGGCTACACCTTACCCCCCGATCCACTGAAGCCTCAAACACTGGGTGTGAACAACCAAGCCAACCAGGGTCGTCCCAAGTCAGGTGAGCGAAGCCTGTTGAATGATGGGTAACAGTGTTTGCAGGAATCTTTACAGGCAGATGTTAAAGCGCTTAGTCAGAAGTCATCAGTTGAGTCTGATCAGGGGGCTTCAGTCACAGCCATGTTTATAATCAAATAGGTTTGATTTCTGAATTTATAGAAATATTTCCTGTCATCCAGCATGCTCTTTGGAGAAACCAGCCTTTTCACTTCTTCATGTTAAACACTTCTTGCATGAATCTCAGCTATTTCTTCCCCATGTGAACTGTTAGATCTCAGCTTTGACTTGACCTCTTTGATTTCTATTTCCCTCCTCTCTAACCTGCACTCTCTTCCTGTGTTTTGTGAACTGTATTTCCTCTCCTTGTCTGTCCTGGTCTCTCCTGGTGTCCATGTCCATGTAATGTCTCTGTTTCAATGGGGGTTGGGCTTTTGGGCAGACGGTGTAAGAAAGCCTCCCGGTCCTTGGAAAGTGTCTGATTTAGACATCGTTGTGGACCCGGTGCCCCCGTCCTTTCCAGAGTCGCACCCGGGCCCTGGAGCCTCCAGTGGCTCTGACGGCACGTCTCGTGAGTGCTCAGAGCTGCATATGCAAAGGAGGGGCAATGACTGAACCTTGTCTCTTGATTGTAGCACAGGATCCTCAGAATGCGTATTTTACTCTCGGTAGCAAAAAAAGGCGCAAGAGTTTAATTTTGAATCCTATCTCATCGAGTCCTGGATACCAGACACCAGAATTTATTTCTATATTCCTCCAAAAATATGGAGGAACATGGAAAAAATCCTATTAAAGGAATACCCTTTGATATCTTTCCCATTCTACCTCCTTACAACCACAAACTTTGAAGAATTTTATTAAGATTTACTGAGATGGACCAGCAAAGTAGGGTATAATTAAGACAAAGGACAATGACTCATTGTTTGAAAATAAAAATCTAACAAAATCACGTTTATTTAGACACCCTTTACTTGAATAGCTCTGAAAAAATGATTGAGAAGAATTTCAATCAGAGAAGTGGCCAAGATCCTAACGGTTACTCTAGATGAGCTGCAGAGATCCACTGCTCCGGTGAAGGAATCTGATTACAGGACAGTTATTAGTTGTGCACTAAACAAATCTGACTTTAATGGACGAGTGGACAGAGGATAGAGATGGCCATCGCTTAAAGAAAGGGATAAGTAGTTCAGATTTTTTCTTTTTGCTTTGGTGTTCACATTTCCAAATATATGCGACTTGTATGTGATCTCCTGTGTGAACTGTATTCATACAACGCAAGTGTCCCTCATGCAAATTAAAGGGCGCAATGACTTCACAAGCAGGGGTGCTCTGGTAGTGGTGGAGCGTATTTAGTGATCTTTTCCAACCAGAAAAACTAATTTTCAAGATGGTTTAAAAAAAAAAAATAAGACTGCTCTCTGCATTATCGTCAACCATGTTTGTAGTTTTTCTTCCCGCTTCTTTGTAGCAAGACGCAGAATAGTGACCATTGTTGAGAATAAATGTCGTTCAGGTCAGATAAATGCTACGTGGCCGTTCAGACACAGGTCGCATTTAAAAACACTTCAGATTTGAGTTCACCTTTTAGCAGCAAAAATTACACTAAACATACAACTGGAGCCGCAATTGAATTTAAAATAAAGCATCTATTTGGTCCAAAACTAATACTCACTAATACTCAATCCAATCTGACTCCTCTTGAGCTATTTTGAAAGAAAAAATGATCAAAAAGGCTATGCTTTTATACTGTAAAGAACTGGACTAATGTAAAAAAAAATATTTTAATATGTATAAGTTCTATTCATTTGGTTTCTCAGTGACTCATTTCTTCTGTGACACCTGCAGTTGAGGGTAAAGAAAAGGTTAAGACACTATGAAAATACAGGAAGAGGTGAGTCATTATCTGAGGTGTATGTTTGCAGTTGAAGCATTTATCATTGCTATACTTTAATTATTTGTTTACTGTTGCATAGTGCCTATTTTCCTAGTACTGTGCAGCCATACTCTAGATTTGTCCAATTTGGGGAGACACATAGCTAATGGCCTGCAGCTGGAACTGACACCTAAAAGAGTTGGGCAAAGTATTAAGGGTTACCAATTACAAAAGTGCATCAAATTTATATTTCTAGATATGATAAATTGTGTTTTTTACTTGAATGTCCTAATTATGAAGTACTTTGTTGGTCTAGTATAAATGTAGTTTGAAGTTGTGGGACAAAATGTGGACAGTTTCAAGGGGTGTGATTACTTTTGTTCGATGCTGTACATTTCACCACAAGAGTATTTGGGATTGGCTGATTAAGAGTTGCACATCCTGTTCAAATATTTCCAGAAATGTTTGCGTCTCTTAAACAGACAACGATCGACGCACTGCTGATCCCGTGCCTGTTGTTTACAGTTTGGAGAAGGTTCGAAGAGTTGATTGCCTCATTTGTTGCCGTCTTACAGACCAGCCAATAATCTTAGGTTTTATTTTTTGTTTTTGTTCCTGTCAATTTCATAACACTTCACTGACTGTCCTGTTGTAGCACTAACCTTCATGCAAATATTGCAGCATCATCTAAAGCTCTGGGAAGCATTCACAGTTTATCCCCAACATTTCCACCTGATCTCTAAGAAGCTTGATTGAAGTGCCAGAAATTGTTTAATAATTACATAATTTAGGAAAAAAAATGCAGGTTTAAATTGACCAAGTTTAAATTTAATTGCTCAAATGAAATATATTGCTTCCCATTCAGACTATTAAAACATAACAAAGCCTTAGTTTTTTTTTTATTAATGGAATGAGTTTTCAAAAACGTTGGTCTCTCCTTGATCTAAGGCCTGAACAGAAATCCCATAAATACATCAGAATTATGTTTTTTCAATGTTGTGGTCTTCACAACTACCTCTACTTTTCTGTTGTCTTTTTTTGTTTTTTTTTCCCTTCTTGCTATCTAAAAGGCACTACTGTGTAAAATAGTTTTTCCTTCTTTAAATAAAATCTAAATGTGTTTTGTCTAAATTCACATCTTCGTATAAATTCTGTTGCTAAACACTAATGCATGCAAATCCACCATCATGATTGCTGTCAAGTTTAGACTCAGGATTGTTGTCCTATTGATCAGTTTTTTTGTTTTGTTTTTAAATTACCAATTTCTAGCATTGTTTTATCTGTTAAGATGGATTTTTAGACATCCATTTTTACTTGAAATGCAAACTTAAAACTTCACCAGGAGCTGTTTCTGCTCTCAACCAAGTGGTACATTAGAAACGTCTTACTGCTAAATAACGATGTACTCATCATTGCTGTCAGAAATAAACACAGGGTTACCACCCCGTGTGATCTCGTTTATGTTTCTCTGTTGGCTAATTCTGGAATGAGGAATATTGACTAGAAGTCAATTAAGACTTAATTTTGTTTTCCATTATTTGTAAAGATTTAAAAAAAAAAAATCCTCTAAGTATAGCTGGTATTGAAGCCTAACTTGTTAATGTCTTTTATTCAAATATACTTAATATTATAAGACAAATTCTTTAAAATTGTTGTTTGTAGAAGTCTTAGAAACGGAGATAAAAGCTGCCTCATTAAAAATGGTTTAGCCTTTTAGAGGCACAATCAGTCACTTCATGATCTCTGGTTAATGGGTTCCACACACATAATCCTGACTCCTCCATCTGATTTTGTAACCCATGCTGGTAGTTACGTCACCCTGACTAATATCCCACACAGTCCTGAACATTCATTTCATATTTTTATTAAGTCAGTTTAGTTCTACCTTTGGCTATTGATATTTAGCACTTATATAAAAAAGATTATTATTTTTGAAATATGCTAATTGTCACCTGGTTGTGTCCCAGCTAATGACACTGGTTGGCCTACTATAGGCAAGACCAGCACCACTCTGAAGCCTCCTGAGAGACGAGACTCGGGGACGGACAGTCAGACCAAGAGCCCTCCCTCAGGCTCCCCCGTCACCCCAAACTCAGACAAGGTAAGCAGCTTATTTTTAAAATAGTGTTTAATTGGATATGGAATATTCAAGACTGGACTTTGATGATACATTTTCTCAGGAAAGATTCTTGAAATCTCGTGCTGCTTCTCATAACAGTCTGTTGATGATAAATCAGACTCTAATCAGTCATCCTATTCAAGAAAAATCTTGAAAAATTGCACCCACTTTTTAAAATATAGGAAAATAAAGAGTTTTTTTTAATCCAAACAATGATTTTATTGCTGGATATTTTAACTTTCCCCCAGTGGATTGCTGTTATGTCATTTTTGGAGTCATAATTTTGTATACAAAGAACTGAGCCACTCTACCATAGGTCTACTCTCAGAAAGTTGAAATGATGGAAAAGGAAAGAAAACAGGCAGCAAATATTTAATCATTGTTATTGCCTCCCTTAGTATTCAGGAATGACATCAGATAATCTTTTCTGCTGATGTTGATGCAGCTTTAATGGTCGAAGCTACCAGTGAAATTGTTTAGTAGAAGTTTGTTTGTTTTACTGGATTCACTTTCTTGGTTTCCTGCTTTTTCACAGGTGCTAGATCCAAAGCTTGCTGTTTCCTCCCCTGCCATTACCAAACCACAACCGCCACCTTATGGATCCCACCTCTCCTCTGGAAGCACAGCCAGCTCTTTGGAACGACGCAAGGATGCTCCTCCCCCACGGCCCCTTCCCAACCCACCGGCGGCCGCGTGGCCCCGCCTGCCGCCCTCCACTGGCTCCTCCTCTCAGCAGATCCAGCAGAGGATCTCCGTTCCACCGAGCCCCACCTTCCAACCCAACGTCCCGCTCTTCCCTCCCATGCTGAGCGAGCGTCTGGATCCCCCGCCTGCCGTGGCGGTGCGTCCCTTTATCCCAGACAGAGGAACTCGCCCTCAGTCGCCACGTAAGGGGCCGCCAACTGTTAACTCAAGCTCCATTTATCACATGTACCTCCAGCAGGCTGCGCCAAAGAGCCAACCACTGAAGCCTGCTGTTAAAGCAGGTAAGTTTTAAGAATAACTATTTGGAAAACATCCAATTAAAATAAGGTCTTGCTTTAATTCTGCCTTATCTTTTTTACTTCTAGTGTACGGGAAGCCTGTTCTCCCCTCCAGTTCGACACCAGCATCTCCCCTTCCTTACATGCAGGCAGGTGGGGCCTTCCCGACGCTCCAAGGCCTACCGGGCAGTGACGAAACTGTAGATGGAGAGCTGGATGATCAGGAGAGCTTCCAGCGCCTGGAGCCTTCAGCACCTCCTCCCAGCGTGGAGAATATCCCACGTCCTCTCAGTCCCACCAAGCTTACGCCTATGGTTCATTCCCCGCTCCGCTACCAGAGCGACGCAGACCTGGAAGTGCTACGTAAAAAGCTGGCCAACGCTCCCCGGCCGCTGAAGAAGCGTAGCTCCATCACAGAACCGGAGGGTCCCAGTGGTCCCAACATCCAGAAACTGCTGTACCAGAGATTCAACACTTTAGCTGGAGGCATAGAGGGGAATGGTGGCGGTGGATCAGGTGGGGGTAACGGTGGCGGTAATGGAACACCATTTTATCAACCAGCTACTCCGCCGGGATACCTGGGAGCTGATTCGCTGGCTGACACAGACAACCGCAACCTCCATACTGAGACGCAGCAGCTGCCGCCATCGGGAGAGGAGGAGCAGGGCTCTGAGGCTCCCTCTACAGCTGATGCTAACGACAATGAAGCCATGCCATCACCACTGCAAAGCGCTGCAGATCGCAGCGAAGAGGAAGATCAAGAGGGGGACGGAAACAACAACCTAGGAGGCTCTGATGTGTCTCTGCCCAGCCCGGTGCCAGAGGTCAGCTCTCCGGAGGAGAGGGGGACAGCAGTCTCACAACAGCTGGTGAGATACGGTGACATAGACAAGGTTCATTTATTTGTTGAGTCAAATGCTTACCTCTCTTTTTATTTTTTAAATCTTTAAAGGAGAAACGCACAAACCTGAAAAAGCCAGACTCTGAGCGCACAGGACACGGCTTCAGAGTCAAGTTTAATCCTTTAGCCCTGCTGCTTGATGCATCCTTAGAGGGAGAGTTCGATCTGGTTCAGAGGATCATCTATGAGGTATGTCCTAAAAACAAATGTTTTATGTGCTCTAATAGAGTATTGTAATAGTATTCTTTATCCCATTTACTTTAAAGTCAAAAACCTTTGTGTATTTCTTTAAGGCATTAAACGGTGAAAGAAATTTGAATGATATTTAGCTTCTGTTCTACCTTTAGAAAGAAAGCATATCTGTTTAGTATCTTGAAAAATTCTGTGATCTAAAGCAGCCCACTGTGTCCCTTGTCTTATGTTTAGGGTGGTTTTGCCGGAAGCTGGCCTGTGCATCTCTGCAGCTCCTCCAGAGTAAACAGTTTTCTTCATGATTTTCTTTTTTAATCTTCCTTTTTGCTTTCCTGCAGGTTGAGAACCCCAGCACTCCGAATGACGAGGGCATCACACCTCTGCACAATGCTGTGTGTGCAGGACACCACCACATCGTTAAGTTCCTGTTGGATTTTGGCGTGAACGTCAACGCCGCAGACAGCGATGGATGGTGAGCCTGTCGGGTCTGATGCCAGAATGCCGCACGGCGACTTTTGGATCTTCTGCTATTAACAGTTTGTTTCCCCCCCCCCGAGCAGGACTCCTCTTCACTGCGCCGCCTCCTGCAACAGCGTTCATCTCTGCAAACTGTTGGTCGAATCTGGAGCCGCCATCTTTGCTACGACCATTAGCGATGTGGAAACGGCAGCAGATAAATGTGAGGAAATGGAAGAGGGCTACATCCAGTGTTCCCAGTTTCTATACGGTGAGAAATTGTGTGGAAAGTCCTGGTTTTATGAGCTCTACTGCATCATCAAGTCCTTCAAATCTGACCCAGACTGTTTTGCGCTCCCTGGTGTAGGTGTTCAGGAGAAGCTGGGTGTAATGAACAAGGGGACGGTGTATGCTCTGTGGGACTACGAAGCCCAGAGTCCAGATGAGCTGTCATTTAAGGAGGGAGACGCCGTCACGGTTCTGCGACGACAGGATGAAAATGAAACGGAGTGGTGGTGGTCCCGGCTGGAGGACAAAGAGGGCTACATCCCCCGCAACCTGCTGGGAGTACGAACAAACTTCTTACTAATTTAACACTTCAGTTTTCTAAATTAGTATTTCCACTTCTAGGTTAAAATTTAAGCTCTGCTAACCTCTGGGGTAAATCACTCTTGAGATTCACTGACATGGAAGGAGTCGTTTATCAAGCCAACTGCACAGTATGACAGGAGAGCATTTTTCTGGGATGTTTGCTATATAAGTGGGGTGGGAATAGTCAATAGAGGGTGAACAAACAGGATTCCTGCACGCGTGGAAAAAGAAAAATTTGTGTTGATGAAATGTTTGTATTTCCTTTTGTTGCTCTCTTTCTTCCTTCACATCTTTCACATCAATTAGTTTCAGTTTTTTGCAGATTTTATTTAAATATGCTCACGATAGAAATATAACTTGTATACACAAGAGACTTTAGTTCTGGAAAAATTTATAATTTGTACCTTGAAAAATGTGTAGAACTCCTGGAGTAACACTGAAACAAAAAGTACATTAATACAAATTTTAACAGCAAAATCATAGGCTTGTGTAACCTCCTGTCTCTGCTCTCCTGTAATGAGGGAAAAACATGCTTGATGATGCTGCTTTTAAAGCCATGGAAGCAGTTAAAAATATTCAATGAGAAGATGGGGGAAAATGCGTTTTATTTAAACATATTGGAAAATAATATGGGAACTTTAGATGTACTTAGAAATCCTTAACTGGCACTAGCAGACAGGCATGCTCCGGTTAATTAAAAATATAATTTTTGACTTTGTCAATGTAGAAATGTTGGTATGAGACTAGAATCAAATTTAAGTTATTTGGAAGGAAAGAAACTGAGATTCCTGTGTTTGTTTCCACAGCTTTGTCCGAGAATCAAGCCCCGTCAGCGCTCCCTGGCGTAATGTCCCACACCTGGACCCAAGGCACAACAGAGGAGCCTGGTGCTCCGACTCCCTCCGTGGCCATAACCCTCCCCAGCCTCGTGCTTTCAAAAAATTCCTCCCTTAATGCAGAGGGCATTGAACTATGACACACTCTCTCCTATCTGCACACACAAAGAAAAGCACTCCAAAGTCACACAACTATCTCCATCCTTATTGACCCTCCCCCTTTCATTTTACTGACACGATTGAAGGATTCAAACAATACCCCTAACCTGTATTTCTTGCAGTGTTCACATTTCAGCCATCTCTTTAACAAACGTCTTCTTGATGGCGCTGGTTTACATGATACCGAATAATAACTGCAGATTTATCTTTAGGTCTGGTTTGAGTTTGAGGACGTTCTTTTTCCTTGTTTTGGTAAACCTAAACATAACAGCACTACAAAAAAAAAAACTCACCACCAAAGATGAAATAAAGTCAAGGGTTTTCAGTCAATATTCTCTGCTCAATGAAAAGCTGTAGAGAGATTATCAGTTTCTTTGCTGCTGTCTGTAATTATTAATGGCTTCCAGCAGTTGAAGTTTCTCTGTTCTCAAGGGGCTGACATGGAAACGTGGTAAAAATAAACTAAATCCTAAGTATTATTTATACAAGCTAGTAAAAAGATTAACATTAATCTACATGTATTATAAATTGATTTCCATGACATCATTAACTGTTTCTTTTTCCTCCTTTTGTTGAATTAATGTGCAAAATCTGGATGCAGAATAATGGTGGATCCATGTTGAGAACACCGATAAATTAAGCGAGCCTTTGAACAGTAATGTTGTTCATGCGTTATATGATTTAGATATTAAACAAATGTTCAACTGAGAGGTTCAATATGTGTACTAATATGATATGAAATGAGTGCATCCCAAAGACAAAGTTTGGAAAGAGGTCAACAGTATTTTAAATCTAGCAGAAAATGTTTTTTTTGTGTGCAATTGTAGATATGTGTGAATAAATACAATGCACTACAGATTGATGCATTTGCAGAAAGAAGGAAGAAGATTAAATCCTCAGTAGCATCAGTTATGTGAAGCACCCTTCCCAATGCATTGGCGCTCCTGGTATAGATGTGCACTGAAGCCTTAAAATGGATTATTAGAGAATCTGTGATGGCAACTGTTATCCAACAGGGAGCTGTATGTGTTAACATTATAAACCTGGGCTTTTATCTATTTTTTAGTTGCAGATAAAATTTGAAATTAATTCATCTTACTGTATATAGGAGCAGACTTTAAAGGGGTTCGTTGCTGATTAGGCATATGTGTAAAAGCCCATTTATACCCCAGAAAACAAAAGGTTAAAAAAATAGTGAAACTGAATAAGAATAAAGGAAACTGCAATGATCAAGACCCGTCTAAGTTAAAGTTAACATTAAAAATGTACTGTGTAGGGTGGATTTAACACAGCACCATTTTTTTTTTTCCCAAGGGAAAAGATGCTTTTCCAAAAATGTTCTAAAGAAAATTTCAATAATTGAGAAGGAAAAATAAGTGAACTTATACAAGACTGACAACTTTCATCTCACAGAGAAAAATCACTATATCAATAAAGAAAAATAATTATAGAAATGATTAGATACAAAGAAAATGTTCACACTAAAAACAGAGCATTAGATAATCAATGTATCTATAAGAGAGTGGACGCTCCAGACGTTTGATCAAGATTGGTCACTGATTTCACTTTAATCAAATTAAAGCTGAATTTTATCACCCAAAAAGCTGATTTTCTTGTAGAACTGAAGTTAAATAAAAGGCTTTTTACACATTTTTAGCTGAGGGTGCCAATGAGTGCCATAACTGAAGCTGAAAGGGCAAAAGATGACAAAGAATAGAAAGTTTATATTTAAAAATGACCGATTTATGTTGCAGAGCTGTTTGCTATATATTGCATCTTCAGGTGTTTTACAGGTCGGCTTTGTCTACATTCACCCACTCACTCCTTCCAGACTCCTCCCTATAAAACTAGCTTTTAAGGTGAAGCTTCTGGATTCTCTGGACTCTGAAATGCTGGTTTCCCTAAACATGTAAATTCAGTCTGAAAGAATTCAGGAAATTAACTTTATTTAAAAAAAAATGAACAATGTACCTTTTTTTTTTTTATCCCAAACAGCCCAGTAGCAGAATCTTGCTGTTCTCCTCTTATAACCTCACTTATTCCAGAAACATTTTCTTTCCTTGGACACATTTTTATGTAATTTACATATTTTATTTTGAAATCCATTTTTTTTTTTTTGTCTTTCATACTAGCTCAATTATACAGGATGTCCTCCGTGGTTTAATTCTGATTATTTGACCAACTCCACTGAATATCTCAGGACTGACAACGTGCTGCAGACACAGTTCATCTCAGCTCTTGTATAGCATTTAAAAAATTGCAGTTTGTTGCAAATAAGTCTGGGCCGTCATGGTATAGCTCCTGTATCCTTTGGTTTGTGCCATAAATACCTTTTAAATTAGGGTGTGAATACTAGAACTGATCCTATTTGTTTGAGCTTTATGTTGCTGAAATGCTAATAAAATCTATTTGCTCTGTTTAGCTGGTGCATTATTTTATTGATTATAAAAATCTGGCTTTAAATTAAGTTGGATTTTTTTTCCCCCTTTGAAATACGGTAAGTCCAAATTACAAGCTGCGTATTTATTTCAGAGGTGAGTAGAGTACCAAAAAATTGTTTTCAAGAGAACAATGTTTCATCATATTTTTACTTAAATAAAAAAAAAAAAAGGAAAAATCTTATAAATAACTCATCACTTCTGACATTAAAAATTATGTAATGAAGACAGACCAAGATATGTGTATATTCTGGTATTTTAAAACAAGAATAAAATGATTCAAAGAAGCAATGTGAATGAAAAATAATTCCAGGCAGAAAAAAAAAATACTTCTCCAAAATAATATTCTTTTAAAATCAAATTTAGTAAACCAGTCCTTCCAGTGACAATATATACTCTTTAGTGTAATTTAGCTTGACCTCCAAATGTTATGGTTGGTTCAAGTGAGCTTCTATACACAAAAAAAAAACCCCACTAAATTTGACAGAAATATTAGTCGTGTGCCTTTATCTGGGTCACTCTTGAATAATAAAAAAAAAGCTTGTTTTCAGTGAAGTTACCCTGGATGGAGAAACCATGCATTTTACACAAGTAAGAGTAGAAATATTTTATTAGATTTTTATTAAGAGAAATGCAACAAGTTACTACCCACCTCTGATCTGATTGTTTCACTTTGGTTTGTTGATCTCAAGGTCAAGTGTTGTTTAATTTTAATCATATATTGCAGATAACTTTACAAAATGTATTATGCACCGAATTTTTTAGCAAGTTTTGGGGATTTTTTTTTTATCCAAAAAAAAAAAAAAGCTTTGGTGTAGGAAAGTCAAATGGGTCGGTTGTTTCCAATTCTAGAGAATAATTTTAATAAAGGAAAGAGGAGAGAGGTTGTTCAAGACCGAATCTATTCCTCAAACTTCTATCTATGCTGTTCAGTTCTGAGCAAAACTCACATAGCTCAGCAATTTTCTTTTGTAATGATACATTTGAAAGTGACTATACAGTGGCGGATCTAGATCAAATTTACCAGGGGGCCAGCGTGTTTTCATGGGGGCACAGAAAAGCATGAAATAAAAAAACAGGGCAAGAGGTTCAAATATTTGAGAGCTGCATGAACTGAAATGTCTTTTCAATTAGGTTCAATAAAAATTATATTTCTTATGAGGTCAATATACATTTATAATTTAGGAATTTTACATATTCTTGACCTAATTTAAGATAAAACTACCGTTTTCTATAACATTTGAATTAGAACTCAAGAAAAACTGTTAATCTGAAAATATTAGAGCCTTTTTTTATTTGTTGTGGATAACAAAAAAACATTTAGCAGATGAAAACTGTGATCCTATCTCAATACCACTGAAGCTATCACCTTATTGTTTTTGACTAATTAGTAAAACAGAATTTGTAAAGAAAAAGAATGAAGTAGATCCAAAGGACCTATGAGTAACCATGTCTGTTCCAGCGCATAGCATCATTAGAATTTCTTTTAAGTATTATTTCTTCAGTACAGGGGCCATAACAAGGGCACTGGCCCCCGTTGTCCCCTGTTTAGAATCGCCCATGTGATTATATAATTGTGATTCGTCATCATAAGCTGATACATTCAGTTGTTATTGTAAGCTAATGCATTTATTTTCCCACAATCATGACAAAATTATATTTTAGTCAACACAAAATACATTTTTATTACAAATTCAGTACAATTTTTAAACAGCCACAGAATCTGCATTTAACTTCTATTATTTTGTGGAAAAGCAGAAAGTACAGCATGGTTGCTCTCCTGAAAGGAGCAGAAAAGTTGTTGCTAAAGAGAACCATTTGATCCCAGGGCTTTTAGTGACAGAAACCTGTTAGGTTTAAAATCAAGGTGGGAATCGTGTAATTTATACATTTTACCTCCAGGGGGCAGTAAATCACTTCTGCCCATGACCATTCACATTCCAAAGTTAGTTACTTCTGATAGAAAGAAAAGAAGAAAAAAGTGAGAAACAGAACAAAAACAAAAAATGAATTAACACTCTGGTAAAAGGTTTCACATTCTAAAAACTGGATTTTATGAAACTCTACACCTACTTTTAAAATAGTTAAAGTTTGCAACCATTTCATTTTTATGTACTCTATTTTTGAAAAACAAGCTGTATAAATTGTTAAATATCATTATCTTTTAGTTATAACTTTTTTTTTTTTTGGGGGGGGGGGGGGGGGGTGCACAGTTTTATACATAGATGCAAGAACTTCTCCTAACAGAATAATAAATAATTAAGAAAAAAAAACTCATTGAGAACACCAGAGTGAAGTTTATCCTATATTTTTATGGTATATTTCCTCTTTAACAAAAAAAAAACAACAAACAAACAAAAAACTTAAGAATAAAAAAATTTGGATATAAACTTAACTTTAATAAAGTATATAACTTTATAATATATTGTTATAAATGTTTTGCAGCAGATATGTGTTAGAGAAGGGGTAGATTGTGGCTAATTTTGTAAAAGCCTTCACACATCATCTTTAATGAAAGGACCGCTCTTGGCCTCCTTCCACCACTCTTTTCACGAGGTTGGAGCATAAAGAGGTGGGATCTTTGACTATCACTTCACAGTTTTTCTGTTGGATTTAAGTTTGGTGATCAAGAAGGCAATGGAAGAAGGGTTAGTTTGTGTTTGATTATTCTTGTTTGATAACATGCCATGACATATTATCCTGCAAAATACCTGCTAACCCTGTTTTCAATTTAGTAATAGAAGGTATCCAGTTTTACGTATGCCGCCTTATTTCACAGAATTTCTTGCAGAGAACTCAGATGGTTTCCACTGGTCCAATTAAGTAAATGAGAGACATGAAAACCCCAAAGAATCACAGAGCCTCTACTGTACATAACAAATGAATCCAACCTGTGTTGCTAAAAAGCTCAACCTTGGTCTCATTAGACAAAAACAATCTGTTCCATTAAGCCCAGTTTCCAACAACTTCCTATGCTTATAGTAAACCAGATAAGGATTTTCCCTAATATTTTGACAGCATTTCACTTAATACTTGTTAAACTTACAGTGCATCATTTAATTATGTTAACCCTGCTATCATGCTGCTTAATCTGTAGTGAGGTGATTACCTCACTACAGTGACTGAATGTGGTTTTGTCTGAGCATGTTTATACCCCAGAGTGGCAAGAAGTCATATATTGCTAATTTAAAGTTCCAAGAAACATTTGTCATGTAACAAGGGGATTGCATAAAAAAAACGGTTTCAGTTATCTGGTATTTAGGTTACTGTTGCATTTCCAGTAATTGCAAAATTATGTTTTTGTAAAGAAAACAAAAACAAAAAAGAAAAATGTGTGATTTTGTTAACAGACGTTCAGCTGAATTCCAATTGAATAGAAAAAACCAAAAACACACTGTTGAAACTGACCTACTGTAAAATAACCAGATGCGGTAATATGTATTCATAACAACTGGATTCCCAACATAGATGCTCTAATTATATTCTTTTTTTTTCGTTGCATACATGCCTTTTTTCCCCCAGTTACTACATTCCTACTTTGTGTGCTACTTAGAACTGGGACGTTGTCCATTGTGAGATTTATATAATTCCTTCATACATTCAATAAATGCCCTAAAATCTATCGCTTTTTTCATATATATATATATATATATATATATATATATATATATATATATATATATATAT